CAGAATAGAAATACACATAGAATATGCCCAAGGAACTGCCTGGCACATAGTAGATACTCAGTAAGTCCTAGACATTATTGTCAGCACAGTCTAATATTGCTCAAATGCCTTCTTTGAGCCTGCAACAATATTTTCTCCTCTGGATGGCAGCAAGAGCTTGCTGAGATGCCTTCAGACCAACGGGAAGAAAAGAATTTTAGAGTAGGAAAGGTCCTATGATTTTAGTAACTCAAAATTTCATTTAAGAGATGAAACAGGGACTTAGCAAAAGCTAGCTAGTGACAATACTAGGATTAGAACCTCAAGACCACAGTAAATTCTGTTAAAAAAAAGAATTTTACTCGTGGTTTGGTTTGGGTGACAAAAGTTTGCCTGAGCATAAAGTCGAGCTCTTGAGAATGGCTGCCGAAAGATGTTTATTGTTTTATACTTTGTATTTAAGACAGTACAAACTTTTCACCACTTTTCTTAATATTCATCAAACAATTTCAAAGTGAAGATAGAAGATTTTGAAAGTGGACACTTATTTCAACAAACATGGCATGAGCCCTGGCCCTGCCACTGACCCTAAGTCTAAGCTGCTTACTCACCCTCTCTAAATCCATTTCCTTATCTATGAAATGAAAATTGTACCTACTTTGCAAGGGATGTCATGAGGAATATATATATGTAATGCACCTTGCACAGTGCCAGGAACACAGTAGGTTCTCAAAAGCATTGTTATTAGCTAAATATTTACTGAGTGCTAGCCACATTTCCAAGGACTTGACCTGAACTATCTCATTTTATCATTACAAATAACCTTGTGAGGCAGATATTGTTCTCCATCCTCATTTTCCAAGAACATTAAATAGCTAGTAAGTGGTAGATAATGGAGTTCACACTCCACTGGTCTGACACCAGTCTGTGGGCCGAACCACTTCTACCCTGCCTCTATTTGCAAATGTTTTTATCCTTGATCAGGGAATTTAATGTGTTAGGCTTTGGTGCTCAGAGACAAAGAAGTGGGAGCCCATGCTAATTGAGTGCCTTTTAATACGCAGGCACTATGCTACACAATTTCTTTCAAAAAGATTTTCTCATTTCAGTTACTATTTATTCATGGTCTTTATTAGCTCTAAGAATTCATAAAGTTTTCTAGAACCCTACAGAGAAAAGCTGCTTTATTTTGTAATATAAACTGTATATATGTATGTATGTAATATAAACTGTAATATAAACTGTTCTTGTTTTCCAGGATTCTTTATTGTAATTTTTCTTCCAGAAGATAGATTATCACATTGTTACTTACAGAAGAAACATTAATGAGATGCTAAATTGTCAGATGATAAAAAAAGATGTGTTACCTTTGCTTAGGAACTTTTATATTAAAAAGTTAACAATGGATAAACATTAACTTAACTAAGAAGGTAAAATATTGTTTCCATAGAGAGACATTTTTGTGTGCAGGCTGCTTTTAAAGTTTGATTGGGGGGTGCCTGGGTGGCTCAGTTGGTTAAGTGTCTGCCTTCAGCTCAGGTCATGATCCCAGGGTCCTGGGATTAAGACCCATGTCTGGGGCCCTGCTCAGCAGGGAGTCTGCTTCTCCCTTGCCCTCTGCCCTTCCCCTGTCCTGTTCAAGCTCTCTCTCTCAAATAAATAAATAAAAATCTTAAAAAACAGAACAAGTTCTAAAAAATAAATGACTATATAACTTGTTTGATAGGACCTTTGTTTGATAGGTAGTAAGCTACAGAATACACATGTCAGCATCTTTCTTGGGCAGTTCCAAAATCCCCCCTCTGTGTCTGATCCCTATAATCCAGTGTGGCATGTCTGTGACACAGACTGGGTCTGGCAGTAAGGAAACAGCCTTCATTTTCAGTCTTGGGTCTCAGCATACTTTGATATATAATGTCGTAGTCAAATGTATCCCGGGCAGCTTTAAAGGATGGTGTTCCAAGAACTGGTATTACTGTGAAAAACTAAGTGTTTCATTTCTCTTTCACTTTTTCACACATCGATGGTGTCTGGGGGTAAAATAGAGGTAATTCACTCTGGTGGGTCAGGTGGAAGAGGCATTCTAAGTGGAGGGAAGAGTATATATAAACACTTAGAGGTTTGAGACCTCGTAGAGTATTGGGCGCCCTTTGAGAGAGCCGGATCTGCTCTTGCCTGTGGACCTGGGACTTTAGCTTGTAGGCAGTAGGGAGCTATTTTTTTGTTTGTTTGTTTAAGATTGCATCTATCCATTTGACAGAGAGAGAGAGAACACAAGCAGAGCAGGGGGAGCAGCAGGCCAAGGGAGAGGGAGAAGCAGGCTCCCCGCTGAGCAGGGAGCCCAGTGATGGGAAGGCTTCGTCCCTGGACCCTGGGATCATGACCTGAGCTGAAGGCAGATGCTTAACAGACTGAGCCACCGAGGCGCCCCCAGTAGGGAGCTAGTAAAGAAGGAGCAGTGTTTAGAGCATGAATATAGTTGCTTTTATTTATTTTTTTATTTTTAAAGAATTTATTTATTTATTTGAGAGAGAGAGAGAATGAGAGCACATGAGAGGGGTTAGGGTCAGAGGGAGAAGCAGACTCCCTGCTGAGTAGGGAGCCTGATGCGGGACTCGATCCAGGGACTCCAGGATCATGACCTGAGCTGAAGGCAGTCGCTTAACCAACTGAGCCACCCAGGCGCCCTAGTTGCTTTTAATTATTAAATCATACAATAATATATGAATACATTCTTATATAAATTCAAATACTAAATCTAAAGCCAGAGTTCTTCACCGCCCTCCATCCTCCAGTTTCTCCTCAGAGGTAACCGCTATTCCATTTGGTGTATGTACACGCATAAGAGATACAGCTAAGATTATTTTGCATGTGTGTTTTTTTAATAGATTTTATTTATTTATTTGAGAGAGAGACAGAGAGAGAAACAGCATGACAGGGGAGAGGGTCAGAGAGCGAAGGAGGCTCCCCGCTGAGCAGGGAGCCTGATGCGGGACTCGATCCCAGGACTCCGGGATCATGACCCGAGCCGAAGGCAGTCGCCTAACGACTGAGCCAGCCAGGCCCCCCTTGCATGTGTGTTTCAAAACAAATATTATCCTATTGAAAGATCAGTTTGAAGGATAGAGCTTGGGTTTGGGCAATTCTGAGAACCAGCTGGCTATCTGTTTACTTTGCCTGGTGTGCACAGAGTATTTTGTGGACATTCCAGCTTTTAAGTGAGGTTCTCACACAGGGATTGGTGCTGTGGGAACCATCTGGAAGACCCCGACCATGACAGCTGCAAACCCTCACAGCCATATCCGCCAGGTCTGCCTGCACCATTGCCTGCACTGGGTCAAAAGTTTGCTCCCTGCAGTTGTGCAATTACAGGACAGCTGGAATTCACAGAGATTAAATGTTCTTTGTTCACATTAGGGAATGGATAATGTGCCCGCCATGTGTTATAGGACAACTGAAGATCCAAACATGACCACGGGGTCCTTTTCTCAGGGAAAGAAAACCTTCATGACTTTGGGTTTGATCTTTTACATTGTAATAAAAGTTCACATGCAACAAAAAATCTACGTAATGAAATCAACAGTCAAGTTAAAAATTACTACCAAACTAACAATATACATATTTAGGCATATCCATAGCTTAAATCTCATTAGGGCTGTTCCTAAAGCGAGGTGAAGAGGTGTGGGAAATAAGGAATCCACTGTTAGGTATACGTGTGGATAGATTTATTTATTCTCTCATTAATAATATACATTTAGTACCTACTATGAGCCAAATCATGTACTAAGACACTGGTTGATTACTCTGTTCCCCTTGCCCTAAATTAAAGTTCACAGCCCACCTGGGGAGACATAAATAATGAGTATCCATAATGGTCTTTACATACAACCAGTGATTTGACAGTTACTCCATTCATTGAACTACTCCAAAGTTTTGAGGAAAGAGCCGCAGGTTAAAAATCTTCTGTAGAAGCATGCCCTATCCACCGACCTGGTGCTTATAATAAAAGACCACTTCCTCTGACTGATTGAAAATTCTCAAAGAAGTGATGGGGTGGGGAGCAGGCGGCTAAACTGTGATTGTGCTCTCGGGGAATGTGTCTGGGATTTGCTGAAGTTCTAGACTGGGACCCAACGTTGGTGAGCAGGAAGGCAGAGGTCATGACTAAGGATGCAATTTACGCAGATTCTCCCCTGATCTTAATCCCATAAATAGTTGCCGGGGTAAGGGCATAAACCAAAGGCTTTACACAGGGTATAAGCTTTCCCTAAAACACATCAGGGAGAGACACTTTCAACAGGACCTTGTTGCAGGATCACAAAAAGACTTCAAACAAGATTTACATGTTATCCAACCTTATACATTCTTTCAACAAACTGCATTTCAGCAAACTGAGTAAACTCTGCCACATTTTGCTTAAGAAGAATGTTTATAAATATATTAATATTCTCTATTCCTTTAAGGGAAAGTGATGCAGGAGCTGGAGGCTTGGTGGGAGCTGTTCTCAGAAATCCCTCAGAATGTTAGCACAAGTCTGGAAAGTGCTGTGAGGGGTGTTACAGGGGAGGACTACAGAGGGCGTCTCTGATTGTGCCAATAGGAAAAAAAATCTTGCGAAGCAAAGACAGTATACAAAGCGCTGTTCACCAAAGCCCCAAAGGGGTCCCCCAAAGCTTTACGTGGCGGAGAGAAAACGGTCCGCACCTGCTTCCTCCAGGAGGGCGCAAACTGAAGGCAGAGGCAAGTCCCAAGGAGTCAGGCGCCCCTGACTCGCATAATCTCTCCCTCGATGCCCGATCGAATAGGTGACCTAGAGCTGACCCAGAGGCAACTCGGACCTCTTCCCTGCGCCCGCCGCCACCTCCAAGGCTGGCGCCGATTCCCAACCCGCAGGATGTGCTGAGAGCGCGGGCAGTCTCTCACCTTGGTCTCCATCTCGTCCTGTTGTCATGGTGACCGCCTGAGGCACGCAGCCCCGCCCCTTCCTCATAACGTGGCCCCGCCTCCTCCGAACCCGGAAGCGTGAGGCTCGCTCCCACTCCGCGGACCGTTCGGGAAGGGGGAGCGCGGCGGCCCAGGCTCGCCCGGCCGCGCGCCCCGCCCCTCGGAGGCCCGCCCTCTAGCTCGCCCCCACAGCCCGCTGCGCCTGCGGGTACTGAGAGCTCCCGCTGCCGGCGGTGACCCGGGCCCAGCCGCCTCCACGGCCCGCGCCCCTACTGGAGGGAAGAGCCGCCTTGGGGAGGAGGGAAAGGGACGTGGGGGAGGCCACGGCAGGTGAGAGGTGGGCGAGGCCCTGGGAAGCGGGGTGTGGGTTTGTGATGTGTACAGGCTTGCAGGTGGGTGTGTATGTAGTGTGCGCAGCTGCCTCCGGCGGTGTGACTTGATTAGTGTGGCCCTTAGTGGGCTGGTTCATGTGACCATGCACGTGATCGCACGTCCCTGTGTGTGTGTGTGTGTGTGTGTGTGTGCGTGTGCGCGCGCGCATATGTGCGTGCGTGTCTGTCTGTCTGAGGTCGAGTTTGAGTTCATGGGGTGGTCGGTGTACCTGTGACCCTGACTTTTTGAGGCTTTCACGGTGGGACTGGGAGAGGGTGGGGTCTGTGTTTGGATCATCTGGGGTGGGGGCGGGGGCGCTGGACCAGAGCGTACTGCTGTAATCTGGTCCTGGGGATACACTGCTGCAGCCCAGGAATATGTTTTTCAACTTTTAAGAGTTTCTGAGCAGAAAGAAGCTAGTTATTTTGGAGATTGCACCTCAGCCTGAAAGTGACAAATGTCTTTGTCATTGCCAGGTGTGAGCCTTGTGAATGAGGGATGAGGAAAGTAGCAGGACTACAGGGTTTTGCTTTTCCCCTTCTGGCTTTCCTGGGGAGTTACAAATTCTGCATTTATGTTGCCGCTTTGTCTCCTCGTACAATGTTCCAGCTCCTGTTAGCAGAAAGACTCAAGAGACTAAGGAGTAACTTAATAGCTGTGTGCAAATTTCCAAGAGCTTTTATCCCAAGACAGCACAAGATGAGGTGTCACAGAAGAAATGTCAAGTAGGCAGCTTTTCCTCCCATGAGGTTTAGACAATAATGGAATAAGTTCCTGAAGAAAAGAGGAATAAATCTCTCCCTGAAGAGATCTGAAAAAAGGATAGCTGTCTACTGGTGTGGTGAGTTATGGAGACTTGCATTTAAAAAGCCATTTGCATTGCCCAGAAACTCAGATTCTAATAGTTACTTATTGCTGGTATTAATAATCCCAGATTGTCCATATGTGGATCAACTACAGATTGAGGTAAAGGATCCAAAACCTCTGACTAGTTAAGCTCATTATGTGACTTAAACATTTTTAAAGACGATTTCGTTGATTGTAAACTGGCAGGTTCTGTCGAAACCCCGAAGGAAAAGTGCATGTAATTCTTGGTGCACGCTCACAATTGGCAATTTTATTGTCTAGCACCTCAAGGGCCAGAGAGGACTGGATGTCGAAAGCACTCACTGAGGAGGGGTTTCTTTAAGCAAGATTAAGGCTGATCTCTGCAGCCCTTTTCCCACCAGCTCACGGTGAACAGGTGCTTCTGTTTTTGTGAAGAATTGAATTGTGAGAGATCAAATCAGTGTCGAGCTCATGATTCGCATTCTTTCTTATTTAATACTGACCAGTTTGGTCACAATCTCGGTTAACCTTTTTTTTTTTTTTGCCCCCTACAGAATGTTCCTCTTGTGACTTGGAAAAGTATACCCCTTTAGTGAATGAAAGAGAGCTAGGAGAACAAAATTCCTTTTCATACCACTCACAGCTGCTTTCCTTTTGCAGCAGTGAGCCTTTTTTTTTTTTTTTTTTACTTAGACGTCAATTGGTCAGATGCAACATTTGGTATCTATCTTAACCTTTCATGTGCTGCCAGACTAGCACAAGTGTTAAAATCACTTGCCCCTACAAAAATTTAGTCACAGTTGGGTGGAATCTTTCCATCCAGTGAGATTAGTTATAAAATGTTATAATACTGCGTTGGTTGTGAATAATACCGAGGACTGTGGTAAGGAACATCTTTCTACTTATTGCTGTGGGAAGAAGGATGACAGTGAATGTGTGTGCCTGTGTATGATCTGGATCTGTATGATCTGTATGGTAGTTTGGTTTGTACATTGCAGCCGATTCCAAAACTGAATGATTTATCCCAAGTTTGGCAAATCTAGAAGATAACTGTCTGGCTTTAAGGAGCTTAAGTGTTTTATAAACCTACTGAGTAGATTCGAATGGCTTAGATTTTTTTTAACATGTTAATATTTGTTAAGAGAAAATGGATATGCAGAGAATGATTTTCTTTATTCCAGTATGAATTATAACTACGTCTGTGCACACTGATTTCAGCATAAGACTGGCTAATGATATTCTTGGTACTCTTTAGAACAACTTATGCTTTTAACAAACTTTTCTAAAATTTTCTAAAACCATCCTAGCCTTGAGAACAGACCATTATTATAATGTCAAGGTTGTAAATCAAGTTTAATAATGGATGTCTACATTTACCATCTCCTTGGGGTTTAGTTTAGTAACCCCCCCAAGGTTAGAGGTAACTGTTAAGACTGTTGAGTTCCCTGTACTTCTAAGACAGCAGATGTGGGGAGCCAAAAGGGAAGAGTTTCCTTGGGTTTAGAGTCCCCAGCTCCTGGCCAGTCCAGAGAAGCCCTCCCCCCCACCTGCCCCCCGCAAAATGACAATTCAGAGTCAGCCCAGGAGTTAAGTCTTGTGGTCTTGAACACATCCCACACCAAGTTAGGAAATCCAGACTTGCCCTGCGGGTAGAGGACAGGATGAACAGCAAGTATTTGAATCCTTCCAAACCAGTGGGTGGAAGTTCCTCATTTGGCAATAAGAATCTGCAACAGGGAGCTATAATTTCAGGTTCCTATTATGACATAACACAGATGCCTGAGCAAAGAAGGGCAGCCTTTCAATCGGAGATGCCCAGCCAGTCCAAAGCTCTTAGAGGGCTGGGTCAGAAGGGACTCTAGGATTGCCTGATCCGGTCTTCTTAGGACATAGTCATCCATTTTGTCAATGGATAATGCCTGCTCTGTGCCCAGCACTGTTCTAGGCTTTGGAGATACGGTGGTGAAACAGTCATAGATGAGCAAACAAGCCTAAAGAGGGTCAGTGACTTTTCCAAGGTCACAGAGCTATGAAAGCTAGAAGTCACTAACCTCACAACAAAAGACCACATATTTTTTCTAAAGACACATGTTTTGTTGCTAGATATAGTGCCTTCAAGCCTATTCTGGTATTTTATCATAGATCTTTCAGAGGAGGTTATATGACTTAATCACACCAAGGTGAACAGCAAATTTTCCTGTCTTTTGCATTAAAAACAAATGTGAAGTTCTGAAGTTATGTTCCACTAGAGTTAGATTTATGGCATTTTGTGAAGTGATCAGGAGGCAGGCTTACATTACCTCCTTCCTCGAGTGTGGACTGTTCCCTGTAATTCTGTATCTTTGTTAAAATAGATTCCTAAGATATTGTCAACACTTAGGTATTCCTAAGATACTGTCAACAGAGTTTGCAATCATTTAACTAGGACAGGCGGTCTGACACCAGAAGAGACTCCCCTGCCTCTGGTCCTAGCTCTGTAATAGCCATGAGATCTCTGGTAAGTCATTTAAATTTTCTAGACTGGATTCTTCATCTGGAGGAGCTAAGGGAGTTGGAGTCGTCATCTCTCAGGGCCCCTTCCTGCTCTAGGACTATAGGATTTAGCAACAGTTTTGTGTAGCTTAAGTAAATACTGAGAGGTAAAATAGTCCATTTCCTTGATTTTACCGTTTAAAGTATTGTTGGTATAGCTAGACCAGACCCTACATTTAGTTCTGATGTAAACATGAATTCTTGACATGAAACATCACATGCTTTTATTTCAGGGTTAACCTCCATTTCAGCTAATCATGGGAGAGATTAAAGTCTCTCCTGATTATAACTGGTTTAGAAGTACAGTTCCCCTTAAAAAGGTATGTATGGTTTTACTACACCTCTTATTTGCAAAATCTTGTGTTGTTTTTGTCTGTGACTGAGATGTTATGCCTTAGTAGTGTTTGAGAGTAAAGGTTATTGCCAAGTATCGTGACTGTGGGTTGCAGAGCATAAAGTTCACCTCTTTGTCAAGTACAGTCAACTTTTGAGACTCATTCAAGAGTAAAAGTGGGTATAACTATACTCATTATTTTATAATTGCTTTTCTGTATGCAAGCAAGCGGGAATATGTGTACTCTGTTTAGTGGAAAGCTTGCAGTAAGGCAACTACATAGTAAAGTGCAGTCAGATTCTGTTATAAAGCCTTTTCCTGTTCCTCGAATTTAAGATTTACATTGGGTCACATTATAGGTCCCCTGTTTGCAATGGTAGTCATCTTCAGGAAACCTTATTTGCCTGGAATGTCCAAAACCCTAAGCACTTATATTGAAGTTTGACTGTTGACTCTGGGTCCCTAATTAATCACAAATGTTTGGGGATCACACTAGACAAAAGCTAGTTAAGCCACAGAGCAAAATCTTTGCTGATCCCTTTGCAGAAGTATGAGAGTACTATGATCTGAAAATCTTCTGCATCTCTGTTATTACCATTTTGTCAGGGTAGACATCGGTGGAGGTACCATGCAGGTTCGAATTAATAACAGAACTACTCTCCATATAGAATTTGAGATACAGTTCTCCAAGTATAAACAGAATATCTGCTATGTAACTGGCAGTGTTGTAGGACGTCCCCAGATACCTTATTTAATTCTTCCAACGGATTAATAAAGTGGGTAGTGATGCCCATTTCACAAATGAGGAAACCGAGGTCCAGAGAGGTTAACATGTTAAAGGTCACACAGCCTGGTAGGATCTGGATTATAATCAAATTAATCTGGCTTCAAAACCAGAAGTACTTGACTGCTTACCAAAAGGAGCCTCCCTTCCTTCTTGTTTCCTGGGAAACACTGCCCATGCTACAAGATAATTGGCTCCTGAGGTCCCTCTACCTTGTCCCATCCCCTCAAGTAACTCATGTGAGCTCTTCTTGACAGACTCACTTTCTCAGCAAGCTGATCACCAGACCCAAAACAACCCAAACTTATTGAAATATTCTTAGAAGTAGTTACAGCAAATAGTTTCATTGATGTAACTTTCTCCAGCTGTCAGGTCTGGTGCCCGAGTCATGATAAGTTTGCTTGAAATTTTGTGGTGCTAGATTTTAAATTATCAAAGAGATACTGTGTCTTCAAAATTATCAAATAGAATTTTGACATTTGCCATTCAGAGGACTCTGAGAACATTGAAGTGATAAACTTATTCCAAATGGCTTATTGAAATAATTTCCTAGAAAATTTGAGAGATCTGAATATCTCATCTCATATGAGTGTTATTACTACAAGATTGGGATTTACTGTATGTACCGTCAAAAGCCATTAAGAGATTTTTACCACAATCATATCAAAAACAAACAAAAAAACCCAAAAAACAATGAAAAGCAAAATTGTGAGTGGCAAAATACAAAGGGCAAGAACGTGAGCATGAGATATTATTGTCATCATCCATTACCTTGGGAAGTCCAAAAGGGAATTGTTAGGGTCCTCTGGACTTTACCTTGCCCCATTTGTCTGCTCGCAGTGATGCCCATGATCCCAGTGTGTTGCCATCCGCAGTGACACCATGGGCCCACAGCACTGCCAGCTAGAGCTCTCAGAAAATAGAACCCGGAGGCCTTGGAATTTTGTAACGTAAAAGTAGGATAAATATTGATTTGCATTGGCAAAAGTTCAGAAAGTTAATGTACTTTTTCAAATCCCACCAAAAAGTCAGCCAAAGAAAACAAAAAGTAAACGATCATGCAATGAATAATACTAATATCCAACACTCACTGAACACAAAATATCTGCCAAACTCAGCGCTGAGCACTTGACTTGTCTCAGCTCATTTAATGCTCTTTTTTTTTTTCCCTGTTGGGTTAAGAACCACTGGTTCTTAACAGTGGCTGTTAAAGACTGGTTTGAAACATCCTTTCAGGACAGGGACACCTACGGCTGCAGCGTCCTTCCTCTCTAGCAAAAGTCTCCCCCTTAGAGGCGTGGTCTGGATCAGTTTCCAGAAGCATCTCCTAAGTGGTACCGTCTCTCCCTAGTTTGTCCGAGAGCCTGGAGTCTTTCCCCTCTGGACAGCGCTGGAGAATGACTCTGCAGATGGCCTCCTCCACACACACACAGCCAGAAGTATGGGGAAGAAATAAGATGCCATATACAGAGTTTATTCTTTTAATGGTAAACAAAATAGGCTTCATAGAATCATGGATAGAAAAGAAAATTAAAACCTGATTTAAAAAAAAAAACAGCTCTTTGGAAGAGTATGAAGCAATTCTGTGTAATATGTTAGCACTGAAGAGGGAAAAAGAGACCAGAGCAGTTTATTATACATGCTAGTCTGGTGTGATCCCCAGGGTACCTTGTAACACAACCAAGGCAGTGGCATTAAAATTGTCAGAGAAATTATAGTGTAAAGTAACAATATAAAACAAATCCATAAGGTTTTCCATTTTTTTTCTTACAACTTTCCCTCCAGATTATCGTGGATGATGATGATAGTAAAATATGGTCGCTGTATGATGCAGGACCCAGAAATATCAGGTGTCCTCTGATATTTCTTCCCCCTGTCAGTGGAACTGCAGATGTATTTTTCCGGCAGATTTTGGCTTTGACTGGATGGGGTTACCGGGTTATAGCTGTAAGTATTATTGATTCAGTATTACAGTTCGAGTCCACATTTCGTGGGGGTTTTTGTATGTGCGTGCTTCTGTTTCTAATTAAGTGTAGTAATGGGCATTTTTTTTTAATTGAAGGAAGATACTGTTTTCCTTTTTTTAAATGTGAAATAAAACCTTTTAAAGGAGGGCGGCACAGTACACAGACATACAGAGAAGCAGAGGGGACAGACCTCTGTGGAAACCTCTGTGCCCCGCTTTTATGTACATTCTATTTAAGTCTGAACAGTAGGAAGCATTGGCCTTGTTTATAGATAAGGAAATGGAGGTCCAGGTCATTTGGGGGATCGTGGCGGGTCATGGCCATTAGGTGGTGGGCGGAGAACAGGCCTGAGTCTTCTGACTCCATTTCCCTTCCTAGTTCATAACTCCGATGCCACCAGGGGAGCTGAACGTGCACTCTTACACAGCAAAGGGGTCTGCTAACACTCAGGTGACTGAAAGCTTGCTTTAATGTAAGTCTTCAACAGTTGAGATGAGGTTTATTAATTATAATGCCCATACCCTCAGCATTTGGTTAAGAAGTTTTTGTTTCTAATTGTTATTTTATTACTGAGTTTGGACTACATCTAGTTTCCTGTTGATCATTCTCAAGTCTCTTCTGGGAGAACAGTGTAGGCGAGGAAGGCGCTGTTGTGACTAGTTTTGTGGCATACTCCGACTGTGTAACAGTGGAGGCTGGTATCCTAACTTCCCAGGAAGGAGAGACTCTTTGGCTTTGAGCTGGCAGTTGTTTCTGGAAGCTGGAATAGTAACACCTAAACAGGTCTCCCTGTGGGAGTATTACTGTTACTATTTATTTACTGTCTGAAGGGGAGAAAAGTCGGACCAGATCTCTTCTCTTGGAAGGTAACTGAGAATTCTACTGGGTTTACCATCAACTAGGGCCACACAAAACAAATCCCAGTTCTTCCTCCTGACAGCCCTTTGGAGAAAACTAGTTATGATCACCACCGCCTGCTGCCTTCCCCCGAGGTCTTTTCTTCTCTGGCAAAATTCTCCACATTCTTTAATCATTCCTCATATGGTGTGTTTTGAATCTCTGCAACATAATCCTGCCTTGTTCTGGGTTTTTATAAATTCCTCTTGATGGACAGCATTTCAGGAGAGCATGATGGCAACCACACTCACCCCAGTCCTCTGCAGCCTAGGACATGAGAGTACCTTTCCTGGTGGCCACTATTAATCAGCCGGGGACAGGGAGACTGAGTGGCTACAGGCGTCTCTCCCACTTTAGAGCACTATCTAAAGTTGACTGTGTTTATTGTTCCAAACTGGCAGGTCATGATGGCTTTGCCTTCTGGATGGAAAATTCTTCTTGCCCGCAGGCTTCTTGACGTGGGATTTCCTTATTTCATTAGCTAGATAATGAATAAAGAAAAGGCCAGGTGTGCCTGGCTGGCTCAGTTGGTGGAGCATGTGACTCTTGATCTCGGGGTTGTGGGTTGAGCCCCATGTTGGATATAGAGATTACTTAAAAATAAAATCTTTTAAAAATGAAGGGTGCCTGGGTGGCTCAGATGGTTAAGCATCTGCCTTCAGCTCAGGTTTTAGTCCCAGGATCAAGCCCCGTGTTGGCCTCCCCGCTCAGCGGGGAGTCTGCTTCTCCCTCCCCCTCTCCCTCTTCTCCTACTTGTGCTCTCTTTCTCTCAAATAAATAAATAAATAATCTTAAAAAAAATTAAAAAAAATAAAATAGAAAAGGCCAGTAGCGTCTTCAAAGTTATTTTGTCCTTATGCGCCTAACTCCATGAAATTTTAAAACTTTTTAGATACTTGTTAGTATCTCACAGTTAAAAGGCATAGACCCTTTTCTCATTTAAGTTTTTATTGAGATAACTAGATTCACATGCAGTTGTCAAAAAATAATACAGAGATATCCCTTTTATTCTTTGCCCAGTTTCTCCCAATGGTAACATTTTACAAAACTATAGTAGGATATCATAACCAGGGTATTCATATTAATACAATCCACTGATCTTACTCAGATTTCCAGTTTTACTTGTACTCAGTTGTATATGTATGTGTGTGTGTCTGTGTGTTAAGTGGTATACAAGTTTATCACCTATCTAGGGCATAGATATCTTTAAATTAAAGGCTTCATAAAAATATCTTCTTGGGGCACCTGGGTGGCTCAGTCGTTAAGCACCTGACTTTGGCTCAGGTCATGATCTCTGAGTCCTGGGATCGAGCCCCATATGGGCCTCTGTGCTCCTCATTGACTGGGGAGTCTGCTTCTCCCTCTCCCTCTGCATGCTTCGCCCCCTGCTTGTGCTCTCTCTCTGTCAAATAAATAAATTTAAAAAAAATCTTAAATAAAAAATAAATTTAAAATAAAATTTAAAAATATAGCATCTTCTTTCTTTTCTATCATCTGACTCAAATTCTCAAATTTTCTGCTAGGGAGAGGCTGTTCTCCATCCTGTCAGAATAGTGGAATCTTATCTACAAATGAAATTTTTAATATTAAAAGTAACATAATTACATCAAATCTAAAATTACCCTATTATATACATGGCAGTATCTAGTCCAGCGATTTGTTAATGACAGAATGAATCTAAGTGCTTAAAACAACCAGCCTGTCAGGCAGCTTTTACTTATTATTAAAGAGAGGGGAATTCTTAGTTGACAAGCTAGAATCCCCTCAAAAGGAGTTAGTGACTTGCATTTCTTTTCCTCCTCATCAGCATTCATAGGCTACTTAGGGTCAAGCACCATACTTTTTTGGTCACAAATAAAAGTACAAGAAATCAGATAGAATGACTACTAAGTCAATTTAAAAAGAGGAACAATTTTATTGAACACTCCCTTCAAGTCATGCTGCCAAAAAGAGAGGGAATTCTCCCTAGACAGAATTTTATTTAGAGCTATAATTTATAATTAAGTTGGAATTAAGGGCAAACAGTATTTCTTTACTTGGAAGGGTTCGGCCCTATTCATCCATGAACCTCAGAGTTTCTTAGCTATTTGGAAAGGAAATAGATGTGAATTGAAATTGTTATTCACATAATATCACTAGTGTGCTATTCTTTTTTTAAATTGGTCTGTTAGGCAAAATGTGAATTTTAAAGTTTAGAAGAAGGTGAGAGCTTATTTTCACATAGTTTGAATAAGGAGCAGAGCTTGAGCAAATGAGAATTGCTATTATGGGAGTCCTAAATTTTTCATATATATATTGTTATTAATTAATGATTGTTATTGCTTCAGTTGCAGTATCCAGTTTATTGGGACCATCTTGAATTCTGTGACGGATTCAGGAAACTTTTAGACCATTTACAACTGGATAAAGTGAGTCTCCTAAAACTAATTATTTAAATGTGATTTTAAGGCAACATTTACATTGTAAAGGCTGGTGTTGTCTTTTGTTTTTTTAAAAGATAGTTCTTTTGAGATATAATTCACATACCATACAATTTACCCTTTTAAAGTATGAGTGTGAGTATGGTTTTTAATATATTCACAGATAGGTGCAACCATCACCACAGTCAACTTCAGGACATTTTTTTTCACCCCAAAAAGAAGCCCCTTATTCGTTAGCAGTCACTCCTCACCCTTCCTCCCACTGGCTCTACTTTCTGCCTGTGTAAATGTACCCTTTCTGGGTATTTTATATAAATGGAGTCATGCAATATTCATCTTTTTAACTGACTAATTTAGTGTAATGTTTGCATGGATCATCCAAGTAGTAGCCTGTATCAGTTCTTCATATTCCTCTTTATGGTCGGATAATATCCCCATTGTATAGGTGTACCACATTTTATTTAGCCATTTGTCAGTTGATGCACATTTGGATTGTTGCCATTGTTTGGCTATTAGAAATAACACTGCTCTGAACGTTCCTGTACAAGTTTTTGTGTGGACATATGTTTTTGGTTCTCTTGAGTATGTACCTAGGAGTAGAATTACCAAATCATAGTTTTCTTAAACATAAATTAGGGGGCACCTGGGTGGCTCAGTCGGTTAAGCATCTACCTTCGGCTCAGGTCATGATCCCGGGGTCCTGGGATCGAGTCCCATATCGGCTCCCTGTTCAGCAGGGAGCCTGCTTCTCCCTGTCCCTCAGCCTGCCATTCCCCCTGTTTGTGCTCACTCTCTCTCTGTCAAATAAATAAATAAAATCTTAAAAAAAAAGATTCTTTAAAAAAAACAAATTATTAAGTGGTTTCATTTTCTAGTGCAATCTGTAGTTAAAATTTTTTTTTTTAAAGATTTTATTTATTTATTTGACAGGGCGAGAGAGAGGGAACACAAGCAGGGGGAGAGGGAGAGGCAGACTCCGCGCTGAGCAGGGAGCCCGATGTAGGGCTCGATCCCAGGACCCTGGGATCATGACCTGAGTCGAAGGCAGACGCTTAATGACTGAGCCATCCAGGTGCCCTGATAATTTTTTTTTTTAAACTTGTATTTGTATACAAATTGTTTTCTTGACGGGATGTATATAAATAGTATTTAATTACAATATTTCCTATATGTTGAACTGCTGTAGATATTTCACCTAATGACTAGTGATGACATTATATTCTGTGGTTGGTGATTACTAAAACAACTTTTTTTGGGGGTATTTATGTTCAGGATTGATTATTTTAGTATCCTTCTTGTGCTTGTTTGCAATTAGGTTCATCTTTTTGGGGCTTCTTTGGGAGGCTTTTTGGCTCAGAAATTTGCTGAGTATACACACAAATCTCCCAGAGTCCATTCTCTCATCCTCTGCAATTCCTTCAGTGACACCTCTATCTTCAACCAAACTTGGACTGCAAACAGGTAAGAATGTAAACGTTTGGCCAAAATTATGATTTTTGCTCCGTGGAATTTTTAAAAAGTTGACCCTCGGGGCTTTTTTTGTTGCACTAAGGAGCAGGGCGTAGGGGTTATATCTGCTTCTAACTTCTGAAACTTCCCTGGCTTTTAAAATTAGAAACAATCAGGGTGCCTGGGTGGCTCAGGTGGTTAAGCGTCTGCCTTCGGCTCAGGTCATGATCCCGAGGTCCTGGGATCGAGTCCCTCATTGGGCTCCCTGCTCAGCGGGAAGCCTGCTTCTCCCTCTGCCTCTGCCTCTTTTCTCTGTCTCTCATGAATAAATAAGTAAAATCTTTAAAAAAAAAAAAAAAGAAACAATCAGAGGCACCTGGATGGTGTGGGTGGTGCAGTCAGTTGAGCTTCCAACTCTTGGTTTGTTTGGTTTTTTATTTAATTTAATTTAATTTATTTATTTGACAGAGAGACACAGCGAGAGAGGGAACACAAGCAGGGGGAGTGGGGGAGGGAGAAGTAGGCCTCCCGTCAAGCAGGGAGCCCGATGCGGGGCTCGATCCCAGGACCCTGGGATCATGACCTGAGCTGAAGGCAGACGCTTAATGACTGAGCCACCCAGCTGTCCCCCAACTGCTGATTTTGGCTCAGGTCATGATCCCAGGATTGTGAGATCAAGCCCTGCTTCCGGCTCTGTGCTCAGCATGGTGTCTGCTTGAGATTCTTTCTCCCCCTGCCTCTCTCACTCGTTCTCTCTCTCTCTCTCTCTCTCTCTCTCAAATAAATAGATAAATCTTTATAAATAAAATTAGAAACAGTCACCTTTGCAAAAGAAAAGAATGGAAAGAACTCTGAATTCAGCTATTTCTATTACTCTATATTGTTTAGCTTTGTTTAAGGTACAGTCATGTGCTCTTATAGTTTCTCTTCAGTGCCTGTGTAACTAATGTAGAGTTCTGCTTGTTCCACTTATTGTGTAAACAGTGCTATTGATTGTCACAGTTTCTTTGGGCATTTGGCTTCCCCCAATTTTTCATCAGGTTCTACTATAAATCTTTGTACAAATTACTTTTTTTCCTTCCCTTTCTGGGTTATTTCCTTGAGATGTGTCTCCAAAAATAGAGGGAATAGAACATTTAGTCTGTCAGCAGACGTTTTGCACATCATGACACGTTAACAGTAGTCAGCTTTCAGAATGATGGAAATGGCGGAACGCTCTGTGGGGCAGCCAGTGGGGTGCTTGTTTCCTTTGAGCCATCCTGTCATTGAAGATACCATTTTAAGTAGTTCGATCAGTATCTAATAGTACCTTAAAGCTGACTTAATGTGGTTTCTTTCATTGCTAGCAAGGCTGGGCTCTACCCTAAAAAAAAAGCCCAGTGAGTAAACATACCTTATGTTAGATTTTCACGGAATGCTATAAGTGAGCATTGTTTTCATGGTTTTCACATCTCTTTAAAATTGTAGGGGCACTTGGCTGGCTCATTTGGTAAACCGTGCGACTCTTGATTTCTGGGTCATGAGTTTTGAGCCCTGCATTGGGTGTATAGCTTACTTAAAAAAAAATTGTACTCTGTTCTTTTTAAACGCTTCTCCTGATGTTACCTCAGTAGTTTGCTGAGCAGTTGTGCGACAATACATTAGCTACAAATAGTTCATGTCCAGACAAGGCACTAAAGCTCATTGATTATTTTTGATGATTTTAATGTTGTTTTAATTGTCAGAAGCCAAGACTGCCCCTACTTTGTGCTCCTGCATGTGAGCTACACTTTCTCAGGTATCTGAGTACTTGCTACATGCCACACATTGAGGCTAACCGGGGCCGGCAAAGCCAACAGGGTCTGCCTGTTGGCTACAGAGGGTACCTAGGCAGCATCGCCTTGAGAAGATAGGGAAGCTGTATGGGGCGGGATGGAGAAAAGTAATGAAATGTGACCAGCTGTCCTTGTGAGGTTAGCTCAACTCCCAACAAGCATTCCGTGGGGAACACGCATCACAGAAGGTCGTCTGCTCCTTTTATAAGTCATTTTCAGCATAGGTTTAGAAAAAGTAGTTTTTACCCTACATAATGGCTCTCGATATTTGTAATTAATGGAATAAATACCAACTAAAAATCACGTATAGAAATTCATAGATTGAATTGCTTTGAATTAGCCCAGTTGAATCTACTAGTAGCAGACTTTGGGAGGTACAATAATTCTTTCATTTTGCTATTTTGAAATATCAGTCATTCAAAGGTGATATAAACCTGAAGGTTGACAACAATTTTAAGTTTTCAGTTTTCTTTCTTTCTTTTTTTTTTTTAAAGATTTATTTACTTATTTTAGAGGGTGGGGAGAGGGAGAATCTCCAGCAGGCTCCCTGCTGAGCACAGAGCCCAAGGCGGGGGCTGGATCCCACAACCCTGAGATCGTGGCCTGAGCCAAAATCAAGAGCCGGCCACTTAGCTGACTGAGCCACACAGGTGCCCCAAGTTTTCAGTTTTCTAAAGGAAATAGTTTAGCCATTGGAAATAAGGCCAATTAGGTAAAAAAAAAAATCTTAGAATTATCAAAATGTCTACCTTGGTAAAGATATTTGAAATACTGCTTTATAATTATTCTAAATTCTCAAAACTTTAATCATATAAAACCATAACTCTTTGGGAGCTCGGGAAAATATATATAAAAACAAGATGCTTCAAGAACAGCTTTTTGAAAGAAGAGACTAGGTCTTTTTATCTTTAGATCCTAAGTACCAGCTAATACAAAGCTTAAGTAGTGAATGAATATTGGCTATTTTTGTGTAGTCTTAACAGATTTAAATGATCAGGTCTTCGTTTTACAGCTTTTGGCTGATGCCGTCATTTATGCTCAAAAAAATTGTTCTCGGAAACTTTTCATCTGGCCCAGTGGACCCTATGATGGCTGATGCTATTGATTTTATGGTGGACAGGGTAAGGATCATGGCATTGGAATGGGGACACCTTGTAGTAGGAATTTTCATGTCTCCTTGGTTCCTGATGATATATCTGTCTCATTGAGTATGTATTAGAGATGTTTGTTAAGATGTTTCCATATTTACTTTAATATGCCCAACAGATGTTACTGCTGGTAAGTAATTCATCAGAATTACTTGAGGGGAGCTTTTAAAAATACAGATTCCAGGAACACCTGGCTGGCTCAGCTGGTAGAACGTATGACTCTTAATCTCGGGGTCATGAGTTCAAGCCCCATGTTGGGAGCAGAGCCTACTTTAAAAAAATACAGAATTCCAAGGCCTCACCAGCTCATTGAACTGGAATCCCCGGGCATTGGGTATGGGAATTTGTATTTTTACTCTACAGACTTCCCCATCCTTCTCCCCAAGGGGAGTCTGAAGTAGCAGGTATGCAGACTTACATTTAGGGGCTATGGGACTAGGTGATTTTTTTTGAGGTCTCTTTCAGCTCCAAAATCTCTTAAAATGTTGATCTGTCCCTGTGGGGCTTTGGGAAGTGGCTTGCTGCCCACAGGCACCTGGTTGAAGAGGCAGTTCAGGGTGAGGGCTATTGAATGCCCTAGAATAGAACAACGCCACCAGCTGGGAGGCCCAGTGCTGGGCTCTCAGATACATTGTATTTCCTCACTGGTGATCTGGCCCACCGCACATGCCACCTTTATAAGTGCAGATCTTATCTGTGGATTTCATATAAATGTGAGGCACAAAATGAATTCATAAACTTTGCTTGTGTTTCTTCCTGCAGCTGGAAAGTTTGGGTCAGAGTGAACTGGCTTCAAGACTTACCCTGAATTGTCAAAATTCTTACGTGGAACCTCATAAGATTCGGGACATCCCTGTGACCATTATGGATGTAAGCTTCCTTTTAAGTAAAATAGATGCTTTACCTTTTTAAATGTATATTTCAAGAGCTTCCTCATAATTATTATATAATTTTTCAGTGCGCCTCTTCAAATGCTGCCTTGGGGTGTTTTTTTTTTTTTTTGACAACTGCTCCCGCCCCCAGCTTTTTCAGTTCTAAAACAATCAGTTTATTGCTTGTCCCATATTTTCCCTGGTAGGAATAACACCATTGAAATCAGAATAAACATAAACAAACATGGTAGTCCTTATCCATTTTGATGTATTTTTGCCATTGTCATCACCCGAGATTGTACTTTAGCTATTACACATCTGTGCAGCAAAGAAAAGTTGCCTCACGGGGGGCAGAGAATCAAGAATTCCATAAAGTCTAATTAGCACAGAAGCTTGCTGCTTATACTTTTGAGTTGTGGTAAAATATACATAATGAAATTTACCATTTTAACCATTTTTCACTGTACAGTTCAGTGGCATGAAGTACATTTACAATGTTGTGAAACTGTCACCACCATCCATTTCCAGAACTTTCCATCATCCCAACCTGAAACTCTGTACCCATTAAACACTAGCTCGCCAGTCCCTCTTCCTCCCAGACCGTGGTGACCAACATTATACTTTCTGTCTCCATGTATTTGACTATTCTATGCACCTCATGTCAGTGGAATCCCATAATATTTGTACTTCTGTCTCTGGCTTATTTCACTTAGCAGAATGTCTTCAAAGTTTATTCATGTTGTAGCATGTATTAAAGGCTGACTGATACTCTGTTATAGTGCATACCACATTTTATTTATCCAGTCAGCTGTTGATGGGCATTTGGGTTATTCCACCTTTTGGCTGTTATGAATCATTCTGCTCTGAGTATTGGTGTACAAATACCTGTTTGAGTACGTACTTTCACTTCTTTTGGGTCTATACCTAGAAGTGAAATTGCCGAGCCATATGGTGATTCTGTGTTTGACTTTTTGCGGAACCAGATAGCATCTTCCACAGCGGCTGTACCATTTTACATTCCCACCAGCACCAGTGCCCGAGGGTTCCAGTTATTCCGTATCCTCCCCAACACTGTTATTTCCTGTTTGTTGACAGTGGCCATTCTAATGGATGCCCAGTGGTATTTCATTGTGGTTTTGGCTTATTTTTTTAAATCATATAATTATTTTGCCTCATAAACGGATGTATTGCTAAAATCAGCATATTTTTAAGAATTGATTTTTGTCAGGAAATTATCCATTACAGGCACGTAAATAATAACTTCTCATTCTTCACCGTAATCTCTACATTTCGACACTTACCATGACACAGAACGAGCTTTTCAGTGCTCCTGGTAAAATATTTGGTCCTCATGGTGCATTTGCACTGCTTGCCCATCTTTCAAAGCTGAGCTCACCACTTGGGTACATGGTCACTGAAAACTGTGTATAAGCTTTAGCACGTTGGAGATGCTTTTTGTGTGTGTGTGCTTCATTTTAAAAATTACTTTCTGTAAACTTGTTTGTATGTGTGCAAACATAAGTTTATGTGGGCATTAAAAGATGTCTAGAATTATATGGGGCACCTGGGTGGCTCAGTCGTTAAGCGGCTGCCTTCGGCTCAGGTCATGATCCCAGAGTCCTGGGATCAAGCCCCACATCGGGCTCCCTGCTTAGCAGGAAACCTGCTTCTCCCTCTCCCACTCCCCCTGCTTGTGTTCCCTTTCTCGCTGTGTCTCTCTCTGTCAAATAAATAAATAAATAAAATCTTTAAAAAACAAAAAAGTCTAGAATTATATACTCCAAACTGCTAACAGTGGCTCCCCCCGGGAAAGGATCTGGACTTTTTCTTATACTCTTGAAAATTTTTTTTGGATTTTTTTTTTTTTCACTGAGCATATACTACTTATATAACTGTTTTTAAGTAATAATAAAATGTAAAAGTTCTTTTGGGATTTCAGTGATTTTTTTTAATTAATTGGCATTCATTATTAATATTCTTTTAATTTAGTTAGCTATGTTTGAGGAGAAAAAATTCATGATAGACTTTTTCCTCCAGTGAATGCAAGAGACATTTGACAACAAAATCCATAGCTTATGTTGGAGTTAGAGTCACCAGGATGAGCAGGAGATGGCCCAGGCTGGCCAGGGACTCAGCGGTGTCTCTTCACAAGCAAGAAATGCTTTGGGAGGCACTTTCCACAATGTGCAAAGAACAGATTAAAATACTGGTAGGCTTCAGCTTTGTGTTTTTTTTAAAGGTGTTTGACCAGAGTGCACTTTCAACTGAAGCTAAAGAAGAAATGTACAAACTGTATCCTAATGCCCGGAGGGCTCACCTTAAAACAGGAGGCAATTTCCCATACCTATGCAGAAGTGCAGAGGTGAATCTTTATGTACAGGTAAGTCCCAGCTTGGAAGCCAGAGCTCTTTGAACCCAAAGTGTACAGTTTGAAACATAAAGCTTCTTTTTTTTTTTTGATGGTGGAATAAGAGAACTACAGAATTCTCTGTAGGAATGAGGCATTCACTTGAAAAAGATGGTTTACATTAATAATTTATAGCAGAATTCAAGTGGGTATATTAGAGACAGTCACATGACTCTGCCTACCATCTCTTTTCTAAGAACAGCAGGCCCACATCCAAACATACTGAAGTAGCCACATCCTGTGATGTGACCTTGCCTCCTGGATACAGTGAATTCAGTCAAAGCAGGACACCTTCATGAAGCAACTTCCTGATCCATTTTTAATGCATTAAAAAACGCACGCAGGGGCGGGCACCTGGCTGGCTCGGTCAGAAGAGCATGCAACTCCCGATCTCGGGGTTGTGAGTTCGAGCTCATGTCGGCTATAGAGATTACTTAAATAAATAAAACTTAGAAAAACAAACACAGAACACAAACACACACAGAGGCAAAAACTAACAAAAACTGCCACTTCATCCTCTACCCAAATGGATATTAAAATAGCAGTGAGAAATTATTGCTTTGGCAGTTTGGCAAGAAGTATCAAGAGCTTCAAAAACCAGTCACGTCCTTTGGTCCTGCCATCCACTTGTGGCAGTGATCCTAAGGAGAGGACCCTAAATTCAAAAAAACTTGATGCAGGGAGACAGTCATCATGGTCTTACTCAGAACAGCAGAGGATGGGAAGGACCTGAGTCGCAGCAGCAAAGCAGGAGGGTAAACACCTACTCATAGAGCAGCGTGCCACCATTTAAGATGTTCATGAAGAGTTTGTACGAACTTGGAGAGACCTGTCACATAGTAAACAGGGAGCAAAAATCCCAAATTGTGGTTTTTCAAAATACTTCTTTGACTTTCCTGTGTTTTCCAATTTTTCTCTAATTCGTCTGTGTGACTCTGTAATTTTAGAAGTATAAAGCATTTATATGCTGTCGTGGCATTTAAAATAATGACCCTGTGTTTCTGCAGATCCATTTGCTACAATTCCATGGAACCAAATACGCGGCCATTGACCCGTCGATGGTCAGCGCTGAGGAACTGGAGGTGCAGAAAGGCAGCCTCAGCATCGGTCAGGAGGAGCAGTAGCTGAGGCGTTGCCTGTTGATGACGAGCGGGCCAGAGAGTTCTTATCCAGTCAGCAGAGTGAGTGCCCACCTGGCGGCCCCTCTGCTCCGTTGTTGGGTTCACCGGTTATCACTGTGTTTGGAAGTAGGACTGATTGTCATCTCTGTGACAGGTGGCAGCTCTTCTGAACCAGTGTAACTGTTCCCCCTTTGGTTTTTTTTTTTTTTTTTTTAGCTTTCAAATTTGAGGAAGTACTTTTGAAGATTCCCATTTTAAGAATTGTGAAAATTTTGCTACCAAAAGTCTTCTCACCACTGTGTTCTTAAGTGAATGTTGATTTCTGAGGTTTGGGATTTTGTGGGGTTTTTTTTTTCCTTTTCTTTCCTCCTTTCTTTCTTGTTACGTTATTTGCTGTAAATGCTGCACATCCAGATTGTGTATCAGAAGGACATTGGTTATGTTTATGCTTTCTTGGTGCCAAGGGCCAAGGCTGTCTGTCACCCCACCGTTTGCTCTCCATCCAAAATCAACTACTTCTAATTTCCGGGTAAGCAGATCATTTTCTGTTTTATCTGCTGTCTTTCTAGCCATTACAGTCATTTGGAATAAAAATTCAATTTCAGTGAGTGGCTTTGGTGATTATTGTAGTTGCCCAACTGGGCTACATAGACATCGAACTTTCTGAGAAGCAGCCCGTGGTGTTGTTGGACAGTTCTTTGTGACATTAGATAAGTTACTTAATCTCACTAAAGTGCAGTTTGCTCCTTGTGAAGTAACAGTAGCTCTTCTTTATTGAGCTGTTAGTATGTGCCAGGCACTTTTCATACCTTCTTGTCTCCCCCTCAGTGGGAATGTCGCTTAAATCTCTTTTAAACTGTAAATTCCTATTTTTTTCTTGCCATTAATTTGTTTTTGTTTTTGTTTTTTCTTGCCATTAATTTGTTGAAGAAACAGGCTCATTTGCTCTACAGAATTCCCCACAGTCTGGATTTGGCTGATTACAGCCTCACAGTGTCCTTTAACTTGTTTCTATGTCCCTGGTATTCCCCATAAACTGATAGTTACATCTGGAGGTCAGTCAGGTTCAAATTCAGTGTTTTGGGTGGGAACACTTCATAGGCAGAGCTGTGTGCTTCCCACTGTGTCAGCTCGGGAGGCACGTAACATCTCGTTGTCCCTGAATCGTGAAGATGGCTGGGAGGGGTCAGGCACTGTCAGCCAGATCCAGCCAGTGCTAATCTCTGCAGAGATGCTCTGTGTCCTTAGAGGGGGCAGAGCAGTGACAATAATTCTAATTTTTATCATTCCATTTATTAACTAGAGTTCTCTGATTTTTTTTTTTAAGTCTTCCCCTCACCAACTATTTGGTTTCTCTGAGGTATAATTTAGACCAAAAAATCAGCATCAGTGCTTCTTTCCCTTTAAGTTTTCAGAACACTGAATTAGCCATGCTCTTTCCGATTTCACCCCCACCACAACCCTGGTTAAGCTGATTTTACAGGGGAGGTCATGGAGGCTGGGAGCGGCCAAGAGAGGAAGTGCAGAGCTGGGACACCAACTTGAGTCTGACCATTCCTAAAAGCAGCGGTGGTCTTTCCACATAGGCCAGTGTCTGCTCTGACTGCCTTGTGCCTCAAGGACAGTTGGGAGTTATGGAAACACCTGGAAGCCATGAAGGTAGAGCTTAATGTTTTTAACTGTTAGCATCTGAGGCTACTTCCCAACCAATGGGGAGCTTCTGTGGGCTGGGCCAGGCTGCACATGGTCAGCAGCCCCTTCTTCACCTGGCACAGCAATGGACTGTGGGACTGCCCTCTACTTTCTCTTCACATTCTCCCTATGTGAGCCACTTCCCCCTGACAGCTTGAACTACTCCCTGGCTCCATGCCCCGATGACTGCCATTTCCAGCCCCGACTGATTTTTCAGCTGGCCTTGAATGCCTAACAGGCCTATCAGGCCAGCCTTCTACAGGCACACCTATGTCCCCACTGCCCAAACCTGCCCCTTCTCTCCTAAACTGTCATCTCTGTTTCCAGGATCACTGTTCCCCAGATTCCTCAGCTAGAAACTCAGCCATCTTGAACCCCACCCCCATCCCCACATCTCAGGCTGAAGCAGGTACCGAGATGAAACTTTGAGAGCAAAGTGGTTATTTAGGATCAAAGGAAAGAGGTTGTGGAAGGAAGCCGATTGGTCATGGGAGAAGCTGAGCTATGACAGGCCTGACCAAGCACCAGCGGACCACGTAGCGGGCTCTGGAGCTAGGAGTGCCCGTTGGAATAGTCTCATTGGAGGCTGAAAGAGCGAGGCCCTCCTGCCCCTCCAGCTCATCTCTCCTCCTTGCATGCTTCCTGTGTTCCAATCACACCATTCCCCAAACAGATCCATCTACACACCACTGTGCATTGCACAGACTGTGGTTTTTGCTTGGAATGTGCTTTCCCCACTTCTGTCTTCTCTGTGAGCTTCTCAGACCTTCCTCCCCTTCCTCTTTCCCTTCCTCCTTCCCTTACCCAAGGAAGAACAAATCCCACAATTCTCTGTACACACCCAACCTAGCACCAACCACATGACAGTACCTTATTGGTGTCCCAGTTCCTCCACCCCCCAACATCACAAGCTCCCAGAGGGCAGGAACTGTGGCTACTCAGCTCTGTACCCCGGCTCCCAGCAGACTGCTTGGCACAGAAGACACTCAGGAAATACAGACTGGCCATGGTGAGTTGAGTGGTACGGTTACACAGAACCAATCCACAGCAGCTTGTCTGACTTGAGATTTTGCCATACGTCTCCCAAACAAAACAAATACCGAATGCGAAAGATGAATTTCAACATTTCAATTTTATTTAAGAATTTGCTTTTTTGTCTCAAAAAAAATACAAAATTTATTTTGCAGAATTCATCCAAATGGTCTAAGTTTCATGTGGTACAAAATACATTTCCTAAATGGAATAAATGGAAGAGAAGTTTCTCCCCCCCCTCCACAAAGCACATGCAGGGGCGCCTGGGTGGCTCAGTTGAGCGTCCGACTCTTGATCTCAGCCCAGGTCTTGATCTCAGGGTCATGACTTGAAGCCCCACTCTGGGCATGGAGCCTACTTAAGAAAATGAAAAACAAAAAACACAAAACCACATCATATGCAGAGAAAGGGCACAGAGGTCCGCGTGCTGCACTGGGGGGTCTGAATCTGGCTGTGAACGGTAAGGCCTCAGGCCTACAAGTTATTGCCTGTAAAACAGGTTCGTTTCAAAGCCTCCTTTTCTTTTCATAAGTTCTAGGTGGTTTCTAAAAATTATTAATAGGGACAGTTAAAAAAAACCTCTGAGCAGACAGCACAGAGTTCTCATGCACCCCTGTGCACGACACGGTTTCTGCTACATTTATTTGCATTCGTATTAGTATACATTTATTTGCATTCATATTAGTATGGCGTTTGCAGGTTTATCCGCAGGATAAATTCCTCCTGGTGGGATTGCTGGGTCAGAGGGCAAATGCATTTGTCATTAGGGCAGACGGAATGGCAGCTGCTTTTCAGAGGACTGCACCACTGTCAGCTCCCTCCAGCCCTGTGTGACGGCTGAAGCCCCTTTCAGCTCTAACAGCTTTATTCTGTCCGCCTCCCAGGACTCAGGCCCAGCGGGTAACCCTGTGGGGAGTTTTTCTAAGACTTGGGCTCCTAAACTGGCCACAGAGAACTGTGCCACATGCGGGAGAGCTCAAATTAGAAAGAGCTTGGGGGCAGAACTTCCAGGCTATTATCCTGCACAGATAGCCTCCACATCTATGCAACCACGGGGAGGCTTCCAGAGTCGCAGCTTCCTGGAGCCACGCTCTCGCCAGTGCAGCCGAGCCCCGGAGCAGCCCATGCTGGCCTGGCACCTGAAAGCAAAGCTCCACACCAGCTGAGCCGCCCAGTATGCTTGCCCCTTGCCACAGATGCCTCTTTAAATTTTTTTCTTTTTCTTTTTTTTTTTTTTTTTGAGATTTTATTTACTTATTTGACAGAGACACAGCGAGAGAGGGACCACAAGCAGGGGGAATGGGAGAGGAAGAAGCAGGCTTCCTGCGCGGAGCAGGGAGCCCGATGCGGGGCTCGATCCCAGGACCCCGGGATCATGACCCAAGCCGAAGGCAGATGCTTAACGACTGAGCCACCCAGGCGCCCCAACTTATTTAAATTTCTAATCATTCAAATTAAACTACACATTCGGTTTCTCGGTCCCACTAGCTACACTTCAAGTACCCAGCAGCCACAGGTGGCTAGGGGTAAATGTATTGGATAGCATAGATCTGGAACATTCCTGTCACCACAGAAAGTTCTGTCAGATGGTGCTGCTCTGGAGAGGTGACCCTCTGTAAGGGGCTAGTAAAACTAAGAATGACAACTAAATGTAAGGTGTGTGATCCTGGACTGGATCCTGGTCCAGAAAAAGGACATGAACGGCTCAACTGACAAAATCGGAATCAGGTGTGAAGAGCAGTTAAGAGTACGGTATCTGTTAACTTCCTGGTTTTGAAAATTAGGCTGTGATTGTGTAAGATGTTAATATTTGGGGAAGCTGTATTGTGAAATGTATTCAGAAATTCTTTGTACTGGTTCTGCAATGTTTAAGTCTGAAAGGATTTCAGAATAAAATTTTTAAAATTAAAAAAAAAATCCTAAAACGAGAGAAAAAGAGTGTGTGCCTCCTGGAACTGTCACGGTGTACAAATAAGCTTGGGGACAGAAAGAGAGATGTGGAGTAAGCGCAGCATTCATTAAAAGCCAGTGAGTGGGTGACGGGCGGGCGGTTTCGTAAGTGCTGGCTGGAGAGACTGCAACAGCTGATTAGCTGCTTCATCCATCCTGGGCCTCAGTGTCCTCTTTGAAGAGATGCCCCTTGCATCTCAGGGGGCTGCTGTGAGGCTCCGAGCCATAAAGGACCATACCTGTGGGAAGGGATTACCTGCAAAACCCGGACCGGCCCCTGGACCAGCGCTTGTGGAAGAGACCGCAAGCGGCGCCAGTGGCTCAGTACAAGCGGCCAGAGGTCTGTTACGGCGATTTTTTTTTTTTTAAGCCCTCAAGTGGTGGTCCTCTTCTGTTCAGTGGCCCCCACTCTGAGGCTCCATGCCCCTGAAGGTCTGGCCCCTCTGGTTACATGGCCGTGCACCTGCTGGGGGCCCTCAGGTCGGCATTTGCTTTCTTCCTGATGCTTTCTGCAAGAGAGAAGAATCCTATTGCTTCATGTTGCCTCGGCTCTGCCTCACCGGGCTGGTTTTTTGTTGTAATTGCCTGCCAGTGTTTGTGCTAGAAGACAGAATGATATTTAAGACCATTTTGGAAAAAAAAAAGTCCCTGATGCCTCCCCTCTGCAATGAGTTTTTTCCCACCTTGCCTGCAGCAGCTGTGAGTTCCCCACCACACAGGGGGCTCTCCTTTCTCCTCTCTAGGACATGCTAGCCATGTTTTCACGGTTAGTGCCTGACTGACAGAGCCTTCGTTACTACTGCTGACCGCCTGAGACCCCGTCCCGTGCCCCATAATGCACCACGCCAGGGGACGTCACGGTATTTAAGGCTTTTTCAGCATAAGCTGATTTTGTTTTTAACGAGGGATTCGTACTGAACGTTTTATCTCGCTTGCCTGATAGTTCCACAGGATGCTCAGAATCTCAAACCAGGCTTTTGGAATGGACAGACTCAAAAGGTTGTGATGGCCTTAAGAAATTTGATTTATTTGCCAGATCGAACTGGTTCAACTCCTATTAAGCCAGTTCTGGCCCGTATGTCCTACTGTTGGAAAAGAAGTCTGGAAAAGAAGTGGAAAAGAAGTCTGCAGGCTGTTCCAGCCTTACTCCAAGCTAGGGGGAAAAAAAAAAGTACAGAGGGCCAGTGAGGAGGAGACGACAGCATCAGTGGCTTTGCGGCTGTGAAGGTTGCAGGCATCACCTGAGCTAGCACCCTCAGGGCACAGGTGGGGAAACCGGGCCCAGGAGGCACTGGTTTGCCCAGGGGTCTGCCTGAATTCCTGTAGACAAGGCTAGGACCAGGAATCTGGAAGGTTCAAAGCCAGAACCACAACATTGTGGTCTGAGCAGACCTTCGGGGGCTCTGTCACATTCCAGGGGGGGCCAGTGCTGCCCTGAGCAGGGGACACTTACCAGCTAGGTCCCTCCTGTCAATTGCCACGAGGCCCTCAAACAGTGCTTTGCTGGGGTTCTCGCCGGCTGTGGCCACACCATGCAGCCAGATGAGCAGCATCCGGTGGCCGTGCTCCTGGTAGCTCTTGGTGCCTGAGGGCCACGAGGGGAGAAAGAGAAGGAGCCAACCGAGCCCACCTTGGCAGAGCCAGCTCTAAGCTGCCCTGCACCACCTCCTGCACATGCCCAGGTGGGAAAGAGCCAGGCCCTTCTCCAAGGTGCTGTGGAGCTCAGCCCAGAGATAGGGACAGGAGGGAAGGGACAGGCTCAGATGGGGTTGGGGCAGAGGTTTTGTGTTGGGGACTCTAGAACTTCCCCAGCCCCAGGCTTTCTCCTGAGCATCCACCACGCATCCTGTTGGTGTTGCTCTGAAGACAGAATTGGCACTCATTGTTGTGATCCCATGTCGCACAGGACTATTCCCTGCATCTCTGGCTACTCACAATAATCTGTGCCTTGCCCGCTAGTGGTCCTATTTTACAGATGAGAAAACCGGCTTAGTGCATGACAGAGGTGGCCATGTTCTTTCCCCTGTGCCGGTGGTTCTCAGCTGTAAGTGCTCACTGGAAACCCCCGGGAAGCCTTCCAAAAAACACTGACATCTGGGTCCCATTCCCTCCCTAGAAATTCCAACCTACTTGGGTCTGGGCGCAGCCTGGGCACTGAGCGGTGTTAAGGCTTCCCAGATGATTCCAACGTACGGCCATGATCTTCAGTGTGGGAGGAGGGGTGAGCTTGTTACTACACTCTGTGACTAGGTAGGTCTCCTCTCCCAGCCACTGGGGCCAGGTCAGTCCATGCACTGCATCCTCTGACTTTCTGGCCCCCTCTGGGCCCTCAGCAGGCACTTCCTCATGGGGCTGCCTTTGGCAGAGCGGTTTCATTTGGCCCATTTATTCACTGTCCCTTGCCCCCAGCCCCATAATTTACCCGTGCTCCTTTGTCCTCTCTGAAAGTTCTTATCTGACACAAAGGTTACGTTTGGACTCCCTGCTCTATTCCACTAACTGGTGTGCATATTTTTCTGCCAGGTATCTCTCTATGCTAATTATTTGAGCTTTATAAAAGGTTGAGTCTGGTTGGATTAGATCCTCTTCACCTTCCCCCGCAGAATATTCATTTAAATAGCCCCTCTTTGGGGGTGCCTGGGTGGCTCAGTTGGTTAAGCGGCTGCCTTCAGCTCAGGTCATGGTCCAGGATCCTGGAATGGAGTCCAGCGTCAGGCTCCCTGCTCAGCGGGGAGTCCGCTTCTTCCTCTCCCTCTGCCCCTCAACCCCAGCTCACGCTGTCTCTCTTGTGCTCTCTCATATGTGCTCTCTCTCAAGTAAATAAAATCTTTAAACATTCCCTCTTTATTCTTTCAAGTGAACTCTAGAATCCTTTAGTCAAGTTTCAAAAACCTGTTTTGATTTGATTAAAACTGAAACAGGGGCACCTGGGTGGCTCAGTCAGTTAAGCGTCCAACTCTTGGTTTCGGCTCAGGTCATGATCTCAGGGTCATGATCTTGGGGTTGTGGGATCGAGCCCAACGTTGGGCTCCGAACTCAGTGAGGAGTCTGCTTGGGATTCTCTCTCCCTCTCCCCCGGACTGCCGCTTGATCTCTCTCTCTAAAATAAATAAATCTTTTTTTTCTTTTAAAGATTTATTTATTTGAGAGAGAGACAGCAGAGAGAGAACACAAGCAGGGGGTAGTGGGAAAGGGAGAAGCAGGCTTCCCGCTGAGCAGAGAGCCCGATGAGGGGCTCAATCCCAGGACCCTGGGATCATGACCTGAGCCGAAGGCAGACGCTTAACTACTGAGCCACCCAGGAGCCCCTCTAAAATAAATACATCTTTAAAAAAATCAAATTTTTAAACTAGTTTGGGAAAAATCAATGTCTACCTGACACTTTTTCTAGCCAGGAATATAGAATGTCATTCCACCTAACAAGTCTTTTTTTATAGTTGAATTTTTATTTTACTCATATGCCATTCATATTTTTTAGAAACTATTGCAAATGGAATAGCTTTTCAAAAATACCTCTATATATTTTCCCCACTTATTGATGGTACACAAGAATACCATGGTATCTGTATATTTTATCATATTTAGCCATTTCACTGAATTATTGAGTTTTTCAGTTGATTCTTCTGGACTTCCTGTGTATAGGATTATAGCATCTGAAGTTAATAAATCTCTTTCTTCCTTTCTAATATTTACAGTCCTTCTTTCTGTTTCTGTTTTCTGCCTTAGTACCAGGGACAACATTTTTTTTTTAATTTTATTTATTTGAGAGGAGAGAGAGAGAGCATAAGCATGGGGGGGTGGGGGGCAGAGGGAGAGAGAGAAGCAGATTCCCAGCGAGCAGGGAGCCTGATGCGAGGCTCGATCCCAGATCCCAGGACCCTGGGCCCATGACCTGAGCTGAAGGCAGATGCTTAACTGACGGGGCCAACATTTCGAGGCAGACACTAAATAATGGTGGCAATAGCTGGTCCTCTCCTTTTTATAGGGAGTGACTTTAGTTTGGTGTGTGAATGATTGGTATCAGCTTGGGCTAATTCATGAAGAATGTGAGTTTACAGGTCAATGGGGAGGGAGAGGCAGAGGGCATGGCCTGAGCAAAGGCTTGGAGGGATGAAGAGGCATTTGGGATGTTGGCGATGGCATGTGGCTTGCTGTGATCAGGCTGTGGGTTGCAGGGCTTTCCCCCCAGAAACATAGAAAGCCTAATACATAGTGCCCCCACCTCTCCACACACTGGTCACTCTGGGGTGGGGAGAGGCAGGGCGGTACCTGTCCACTGCTGCTCGATGGCGTGGACGTGGGCCTCAGTGAATTCCCAACAATATGCGAGCTTCTTCCACTCATGAGGCCGCAGGTCCCTGGAGGCCAGTCGCCACAGCACTCGGGAGAATTGCCGCCCTTCCTGCCGATGGTCCTGCTTAAAGGTCAAGTTCTTCCCACAGGGATCCCTGGGGTCCCTGCGCAAGAGGTGATCCTGTGGAGCAGATCCCCAAAGTGCAGCTGCCACCTGGGGGGAAATCCCTGCCAGGCTCTCCCTTGGGAGTTTGGATAGGGCTCTGGCAGGCATCCAGGCCTGGGGCTTCATGTCTGCGACTCTGGTTTCTCACTCTGTGCCTTGCTTGGACTAGTGGAACCCCAGCCGCTCACACTCCATCCAGAATTCCTTTTCTCACCTGCCTGTCCCTCAACCCCACTGCCACAATCCAAAGATCACCCACAGGCCACCTCTTCCAGGAAGTCTTCCCAATTCCTCTCTTTTCTCTGTGTTCTTACAACGCAAGTGTCAGCAGAAGGACTCAGCAGCTCTTAACACCAGTCAAGCCAAGGATCATGCACTAACTAGATCTGTTGAATCCCAACAAGTAGTGAAGGGCAGGATTACAGAATTTCTATGCAAAGCAGGTGATAAAATGAGAAATTACAAAAGAACTATGTGATACCATAAGTTAAACCCACAAAAGCCTAAGTAAGCCCCTCTGAAGGATGTGGATACAGAGTTCTGGTTCTTAAAAAAGCTCAGGTGAGTTCTGGCATCCGCAGCTGCAAATCTTACATCCTGGTCAACAGTGTCTGGCCAATCACCTGTGACGTGATGACCAGGGAGACTGGCTTTCACGTGGGGAGGTTCCCCAGCAGTGTTCCCAGCTGCATCTGTATATTGGGATCATCTGGGAGCTTTAAGAACCACTGATGCTTGGAGCACCTGGCTGGTTCAGCTGGTAGAGCGTGAGACTCGATCCTGGGGGTGTGAGTTTGAGCCCCTCGTTGGGTGTAGAGATTAATTTAAAAAATAAAATCTTCAAAAAAAAATCTTTAAAAATAGAATCTTTAAGGCGCCTAGGTGGCTCAGTTGGTTAAAACTCTGGCTTTAGCTCAGGTCATGATCCCAGGGTCCTGGGATCGAGCCCCATATGGGGCTCCCTGCTCTGCGGGGAGCCTGCTTCTCCCTCTCCCTCTGCCTGTGCTTTCTCTCTCTCTCTCTCCGTCAAATAAATAAATTTTTAAAAAATAAGTAAAAATAAAAAACAAGGGGCGCCTGGGTGGCTCAGTCGTTAAGCGTCTGCCTTCGGCTCAGGTCATGATCCCAGGGTCCTAGGATCGAGCCCTGCATCGGGCTCCCTGCTTGGTGGAAAGCCTGCTTCCCCCTCTCCCACTCCTCCTGCTTGTGTTCCCTCTCTCGCTCTCTCTCTGTCAAATAAATAAATTAAAAAATATATTTTTAAAAAAATAAATAAAAAACAAAACTACCGATGCTTGGACCCGTACTTCAGAGACTCAGATTGAATTGGCCCGGGGGGTGGGGGTGGGGTTGTGAATCTAGCTGAGCTGCTGCCTTAGCGTTGAGAACTTTTAAAGTCTGAGGTGTTAGAATTAAGCACAGAGATGAATCAGTTCATCAAACTCTTGGTATTAATATTTTGGGGTTACATTTAGGAGTAACCTGTTGTATGCAAAGGAGCTGTAATGTTTCTGAGAATCTAGCATGTCTGTGAAAGAGAATATCTTATGATTCCTATTGAAATTTGTTATTAATCAATTGATTTTGAAATAGCGATTTTTTTGAGCGGTACAAGAGAAGCTTACTAAGTTTGCAAACAATATTGGAATGTTTAAGATATTTGAGATTCACTTTATAGGTTTAATTTACCGGATTTTACTAGGATAATTTAAGAATTTAGGGGGCACCTGGGTGGCTCAGTCAGTCAAGCGTCCAACTGTTGATCTGGGCTCAAGTCATGATCTTAGGGTTGTGGGATCAAGCCCCGTGGCCTGCTTGGGATTTTCTCTCTTCCTTTCCCTCTGCCCCCACCTCCCTCTTTAAAAAGAAAAGAAGGAAAAGAATTTAGGAAGTAAAGTGCTTAAAAAATGTCTATCAAATTTAATTTAATGTTTAAAATGTTTAAGATAGTTTAAACATGGGTCCAAACATTAATTAAAAGGCTTCCCTGAAAGTGGAAATTCCTAAAAAAATACCAGTTGTATAAATGGAATAAGATTTATAAAATGAATTTATAAGTTTAAGGAAAACTAGGTGGTTCTTTTTTTTTAAAGATTTTATTTATTTAAGAGAGTGAGCAAGAGAGAGAAAGAGAGAGCACATGCATGAGCAGCGGCAGAGGGAGAGGGAGAGGCAGACTCCCTGCTGAGCAGGGAGCCTGATGCAGGGCTCCATCCCAGGACCCTAGGATCATAGATTGTGACCCCAGCAGAAAGCAGACACTTAACCAACTGAGCCACCCAGGCACCCCAAGGAAAACTAGGTTTTAAAATTTGTAATAAATTATTTTTAAAACTGAAGTAAATGCAAAAATTATTTTCTATGTATAAAAACAACCTCAAAGACATCAAAAAACTCCCCACCCGACCCCCATTTGCTGACAATTGGAATAGCATGGCCTTACATCTGCTGCTCTTCCTCCCCAATTCCTCAGCAAGCATCACTAATCAATCCCAGCACACTTTCCTTCTGGGCTCAGAAAGTTGCCTGACTACAACACCCCCAGCAGCAATTCCAGTCACCTGGAGACGGCAGTAAGCTGAAACCAACTTGCCATCTCTTCCTTCATGCACGCAGGCATGCGCCCATGCATCCAGCAACCAGGAGCTCTAACAGCATCCGGTACTATCTCCACAATGGTACAGACCCCGGTCTGCCTTGTTGCAGTGTGGTTGGGTGCTCACTCATCTCTAGATGCTCACAGACAAGCCTCGCGGTAGGTAAGGCACAGATTATCACCTCCTCGGAAACTGGGCGGGGCTGAATTGGTCAGGGCTGGGGTTCAAAGCCAGCACCACCCCGAGCCAAGGCCGCTGCCTCTGCAACATGGACAGACCCCGTGCAGGGTGTCAGTACCTTCTCCCACGTGTAGAGGCGATCAGCCTTTATGATCATGTCCACCAGGCTGATGTGGTTGCTGCGAGTGGCCACCGCCAGGGCAGTTTTCCCTTGCTGCAAGAAAGAAGTAAGAAGGGGGCCTCTAGCATTGGCTGCAAACGCTCCTGCCCCCAAGAAAGCGGTTTCCAGCAGTCTACACTGGAGAGCGAAAGGTTTTCTGGGCATGACGAGGGGCGTGGGAGGCAAAGGTCGAATGAGGCAATAATCCCAGCAACCGCCTCTTATTTATAATTTAGGAAGTCTTAGAGCATATGAAGCCCAGCCTGCATAACTCCTCAACAACACCTGTGAAATAGCAAGACCTGGCCTGCTTTTTAGATGAAACCAGAGCCCAGAGAAGGGGACTGGGTTCATCAGGTCACGTCTGCCCACCCCACCCAGGCCCTTTGCTCCAGGCCTCCCGCACAGGGCTGGCCTTAATCCCCACGCACGTGCAGGGCGTTGGGAAGTTCCTCTTCGCACCTGGCCGGCTGCCCTGGGGCCCAGGTCAAGGCAGGGAGCCCCCTCCCAGGTCTAGTCTCAGGGTCTATTCCTGCCCTCAACTCTTCCGCACACCATCCCAAGGACTGGGCCACGTATCCAAGCCCCTTCCCCTCATGAGCCTTTGACCTCCTTAGCCTTATACCAAGTCCTCAGGTCATCTGGACTCTCCAGCCACCTGAGGGAGTAGCCACCCCAGAGGCACAAAAAGCCAGGAAGCTTCCCCACCCCTGACCCACAAGTAGGGGGCTGTGGGGCAGTGAGGTACCGCTCCTCTACTCCTCCCCCTGGCCACCTGGCAACTCAAGGAGCTCAAAGTCTGAGGGACCATGAAACAGAAGACAACCACCTCACAGTTCTAGACCAGCAGAAGGGCAGGCCAAGTCCTAAGGGACCTCAGAGGAGGAAGGGGAAGGTGATGGAGGGGCAGGAAGGCTTCCTGGTGGAGGGTGCATCTGAGCTAGTATACAAAGGATGGGAAGCCTTGAACAGTCTGAGAGCAGGAGACATTTGTAGTAGGGTCTCTGGCAAAGAGGGAGCCATGAAAACTTGAAAGGGAGGCTGGTTGGGAGGTACCTTGTCTCTCAGGTTTAAGTTAACCCCCGTGACGAGGAGCATCTCCGCTATGTCCTGCCTGGCGTGCTCAGCAGCAAGGTGGAGGGGCGTCTGCTGCCTCTGGGGAAGAAGCCAAGGGGTCAGGGGAGTAGAAAAGCATGTACAAGTGTCCCAAGGCTCAAAGCCAGGACAGGTCCAAGGTGGATCCACTCCTAACTGGGCCTTAACAAGTTTATCCAAAAGTTATGGGAGAAAGTAAGCTGGGTTTAGTCATAAACACAATACCAGAGAAAACTTGGTAAAAACAAAAAAGCAGAAAGAATAAAGGAAAAAATACCACTTGCTAGCTAAGTCAACCTCTGTAACAATCCTACTATATTTCTTCTAGTCTTTAATGTAGAATGCTTTTGATTTGTTGGTTTTACATGAGATCATCCCATATATACATTTTGCATCCATTTTTTCTACTAACATGTCCACATATTATGACAAACACCATTTTTAACAGCTCCATAGTAATCTACACCTAGCCCATAATCTACCTGATCACTTCTTTATTATTAAATATTTGGGCCATTTGCAAATTGAAGACTGGTAAACAACGCTGCAATAAATATCTTTGTGCATGAGCTTTTAATGTATCTCTTGAGGCTCAATTCATTAAAGTGCAAAGACTGATCATTTTGAAGGTATATGCTGTATCCTGCCAAGTTGCTTTCCACCACTCGTGGTTGTAGGTACGGGTACTGAGGGCTCTGTGGTCAGGGGGAGGACTGTAGAGATGGGGAATTCAAAGGGCTCCTGACTGAGCACAACTTCAGGACTCAGAGGCCTCTTGTGACACAAGACTGCCCCACTTACCCCTGTCCTGGGAATTTTCCTAAAGGAAAAGAAAAATCAATGAAAGGAAATGGTGGTACGTAGGAAGATGTTTACTGCAGTGTTATCCAGACCATGGTAACAACCTGGAAACCACCAAAATGTTCAAAATAGAGGAATGGTTGATAAAATGATGTTACCTTCAACAAATATTCACACAGCTTTTTTATAAACTAAAAAAGTAATTTCTCAACTCCAAGCCATGCTAGGAGATGGCAGCCAAGCCCTGCCAGCCTGGGAGGGTGCCCAGAGGTTCCCTGGGGCCCAGACGGTTTCCGTAACCACTTACATTGTCGGTGGCATCCAGGTCACTGCCGGCGTCGATGAGGAGCTGGACCAAGGCAGGGAAGTGGTGCTTCACAGCCAGGTGCAGAGGAGAGGTGCCCTGCTGGGGGAGGAGACAGACACATGGATCATTCACGGGGTCCCTCCCAGGACTGCCCAGAACAGGTTGGTAGGTTGGTGCTGGGGGATGGACGTAGGGAGGTGTATGGAGATATAGTGCTTCTAGGTTTGACCCTTTTCTTTTTTTAAGATTTTATTTATTTATTTGAGAGAGAGAGAGCACAAGCAGGGGGAGCGGCAGGCAGAGGCAGAGGGAGAGGGAGAAACAGGCTCCCCGCTGAGCAGGGAGCACGATGCGGGGCTCGATCCCAGGACCCCGAGATCATGACCTGAGCTGAAGGCAGACGCTTAACAACTGAGCCACCCAGGTGCCCCGAAATGACATATTTTTTAAAAGATATCCTTTTTATGACAGTCAAAATTATAAAGTATCTATGAAGAGTATAATTGTTAATGGACATATCAAAGGCAAAATAAAAGCCATATAACATGACTGAGGATGGAAAAGAAAAGAAATAGTAAGACTTCATGCTCCTAGTGAAAAATTAGTATAAAGATGACCATTTTCTCTTATATTATTTACAAGTTTAGTGTAATCCCAAATCCAAATTTCTATAAATGCCAAAAAGGATTCTGAAACACATCTAGAAAAAAATTTTTAAACCCGGGGAAAACTACCCCAAGAATTTCAACAGAGCCTTCAGATCATTGCTGGATGACTGTGAAATCAAAATCTGGCCAGGAAAAGGTGTGCTGTGCCAGTGAATGGGGAGAGACTGAAATTGGCTCAAACGCATGACTCAGGTGAGCCTGGAAACTTGTCAGAACTACAAGGACCGTCTTTCCAGAAAGAAAGCAGCAGGCTATGGAGATAAAATAAGCGAATACTCTAGATCTAGCCTCGGTCATCCTGGAAACACGTCTGGGGGAATGTGGTCAGAAAAGGGAGTGGAAAGAGAGCAAGTATGGCTTTTAGTTGTTTTACATTTTATTTATAAAAACCAAAAGAACCAAAAAGTACACAAGGTACCTAGTGAAAAGGCTTCTTCCACCCCCATCACCCATCTGCTCATATTCCCCACTCCTAAACCCCACTGGTAATCTTTTTTTTTTAAGATTTTATTTATTATTTATTTGTCAGAGAGAGAGAGAGAATAAGCAGGGGGAGTGGCAGGCAGAGGGAGAAGCAGGCTCCCCGCTGAGCAGGGGGGCCCCGATGTGGGACTCAATCCCAGGACCCTGGGATCAGGACCTGAGCCAAAGGCAGAGGCTTTTTTTTTTTTTTTTAAGATTTTATTTATTTATTTGACACAGAGAGAGAGAGAGCACAAGTAGGCAGAGTGGCAGGGAGAGGGAGAGGGAGAAGCAGGCTCTCTGCTGAGCAGGGAGCCTGATGTGGGGCTCGATCTGAGGACCCCAGGATCATGACCTGAGCCGAAGGCAGCCACTTACCGACTGAGCCACCCAGGCGCCCCCAAAGGCAGAGGCTTAACCAACTGAGCCACCCAGGCGCTGTCCCCCACCCGCCCCACAACTGACACTGGTAATCTTGACTGTTGCTATTATGTGTATGCTTCCAGAGATGCTTAAATTTTTTTTAAAAGAAGAACCTTAAAGTTTTATTTTGAGGTAATTATAGACTCACATGCAGTTAAAAAATAATGCAGAGAGCTCTGGTGTATCCTTTACCCACTTCCCCCCAGGGGTAACATCTTACAAAACCCTGGCACAGGGGCTCCTGGGTGGTGCAGTCGGTGAAGCGTCCCACTCTTGATTTCTGCTCAGGTCATGATCTCAGGATCCTGGGACCGAGCCCAGGGTTGGGCTCCATGCTCAGTGCAGAGTCTGCTTCTCTCTCTCCCCTCTGTCCCTCTCCCCTGCAGGCTCGCCCTCTCTCTCTAAAATAAAATAATCTTAAAAACCACAACAACCCTGGTACAATATCCCAAGCAGGATAATGACTCTGATAACATCCACTATCTTATTCCGATCCCCTCAGCTTCACTCGTCGTCATTTGTACACGTGTGTGTTTAGTTCTATGCCATTTTATCACAGGTGCGTGTTCGTGTACCCACTGCGCAGCCGAGATACAGAACCATTCCCTCACGAGGATCCCTTGTGTTGTTCTTTTATAATTCTCTCCTCTGTCCCACGTTCCCATCACTAACCCTCAGCAAACACTAATCTGCTCTCCATCTCTATTGTGTCATTTTGAGAATGTTCTATAAGCAGAACCATACCATATGTAACTTCACAGACTGGCTTTTGTCACTCAACATTATTCCCTTGAGATTCATCCAAGCTGTTGCATGCACCAGTAGTTTCTTCTCATTGCTGAGTTGTATGAGTTGGGTGTACCACAGTTTCCCTTACCATTCACGTTTCAAAGGACATCTGGGTTGTTTCCAGGTTTGGCCTATTATGAATAAAGGTGCTATGAAAATTCAGGTACAGGTTTTTGTGCAAACAGATGTTTTTACTTCTCTGGGGGAAAAGGCCAAGAGCACAATTGCTAGGTCACAGGGTAACTGCATGTTTAGTTTTTTGAACAACTCCAAAGCTGTTTTCCAGAATGGTTGTACCATTTTACATTCGCACCAGCAAAGTAAGAGTGATCCAGTTTCTCCACAACCTTGCCAACATTTGGTGTCATCACTATTTTTTATTTTAATCATTCTGATAGGCGTGTAGTGATATCTCTTTGTGGTTTTAACTTGCACTTTCCTAATGGCTAATGATGTTGAATGTCTTTTCATACCCTTATTTGTCATCTGTATATTCTCATCAGTGAAATGTCTATTCAGGTGTTTTGTCCATTTTCTAATTTTTTTTTTTTTTTTTTACTGTAGAGCTTTGAGTGAGGGTTTTTTTTTTTTATCTATTCTGCAGTGAATTTTATTGAATTCATAGGGTGCATTCCTTCATGAAAAATAATTTAAAAAAAATTGTACAGGCATGCTTTGTGAGACAAACCAGTGAGATGAAGCCTGCTCAGACCGGACCAGAGCAGACACCTCAGCCCACATGATGGTGCTTTTATTCAATACAAACAAACAGCAACAATGATAATAGGATGAGACCATAAATGCACGGAAACTTTCTGGGACTCCTGGCTACACTCTGACCAATCTATCATTCTTTTCTTACCAGCCAGGTAAACAACCGAGCTCATCTGCTAATGCCAAAAATTTCAAAGCTCTTAATCCAGTTAGAAATGACTACAACTGAGGACCTTTCCTCTGGCTAGCTGGCTTCCCCAATTCAGAACTGTTAGCAGGTCAATTTCAGCATCACAGAAAGTCTCCTCCGGCTGGCTGTACCACATACTGGTGACAAAGAGAGCTTTAACGTGTTCTGTGCTCAGGCTGCTGGGCCTCCGGACAGCTTGTGTCCTTCTGTGCACCTTGGTCCTGAGCATTCTGAGACTTGGTCAGCTGCGGATAAAAGGGACCTACCAGCCCATTCAGAGGCGTATTGTTAACAAGATAATCCATCACATCATCTAAATACTCCATTTTCTGCAGCCTGCCCTTTGCGGGAAGTGAGGAGGTCATCAAACACTTCCTTAAAGGAGGCAGTGTTGCAGAACCCTGAGTAGATGTCACCGGCCATCACCCCCAAGGGACTGGCCTGATCTTGGATGTTCTGCAGTAACCTTTGGACACCGCAGAGTGTGGCATGTGGTCTGGAGCTGCTGAGTCAGGTGGTGGGCAAGAGGACGTGACTCAAAGTGCTCAGCACAGTGGGACTCATCTGTATCATCAGAGCCAATGCTCTTCCACTCCACCCAGGAGAGAGAGAATTTATCCTGAGCACCTTGAATTTTCTGGTTGGCACTATGCACATTCTTCCTGGCAAATTCGATCGGATTAGCAGTGGGATGGAGCTGAGAAATGGTCTCTTGGCTTTTTTGCTTGGCTTCTTTAACCTTGCTGAGAGCCTGCTGGTAGACACATGAGCAGAGCTTGGTAGACAGGGATCCCAGTCTAACATAATAACTTGACTTCTGAACTGTATCAAATCCTTCAACTTTTTTTGCTTCTTTTTCTAGTTCTTTCTCAGTGAGAGGGAGGTACTGGTCCACCAACAACTCTGATTTGGTGAGCGCATTTTCTACTCCACTGCTCACCATCTGCACCATCCGACCTCCCAAGATTGTGTTAATGCTGCCATTGACCATAGACTTAGTCTTCTCCACACTGCCTGTCACCACTCCTTTGGTCTTGTCCATCACCCCAGTGATGGTGCTGGCCATGGAATCCTTGGCCCTGGTAACAGCTGTGTCACAGTATCTTTTGCCCCAGTCATAACACCTCTGGCATTGGCAACAACCTGGTTGTTGCCTGATTCAGAATAGGTAGTTTCTCCTCAACCCTGTCTAGCCCCTTACAAGCATAGGTATTGGCAACCGCAATTGTGGCTCTAGCTTCTGGATGATGGGCAGAGCACTGGTCACAGCCACAAAAGTGATGGTCTTCACACCCTTCTCTGCCATCTTGCACACAGACTTCAAGAGTAGATTTAGTTTGTAAGAAACTGTGAGACTGTCTTCCAAAGTGGCTGTACCATTTTGCATTCCCAGCAGCAATGAATGAGAGTTCCTGCTGCTCGGCATCCTCATCAGTATTTGGTGCTGTCAGTGTTTTGGCTTTTGGCCATTCTAGTAGGTGTGTACATCACGGTGTTCTTATGGAACACTTCTTTACTTTGTGTCATTGCAAGACACTCCAGATTCCTCCTATATATTTCCTGCCCCAGTCCTAGAAGTTTCTCCAAGAGCCCTGGTATTTTTGATGGAGAATGTTCATCTTGTTTTTTTCACATCCTCAGCATTAACATCTATTCATATATTTGTTTAAAAACTTCCCCAATTTGGAGCTCTCTTGCACTGTTGGTGGGAATGCAAACTGGTGCAGCCACGGTGGGAAACAGTACAGAGGTTCCTTAAAAAATTAAAAATGGAACTACCCTACAACCCAGCAATTGTACTACTAGGTATTTACCCAAAGAATACAAGAATACTAATTCAAAGGGATACATGCACCCTGATATTTATAGCAGCATTATCTACAATAGCCAAATGATGGAAGTAGCCCATGTCCATTGATTGATGAATAGATAAAGAAGATGTGAGATATATATATAAAATGGAATACTACTCAGCCATAAGAAAGAATGAAATCTTGCCTGAGCAATGACATGGATGGAGTTAGAGAGTATTAAGTTAAGCAAAATAAGTCTGTCAGAGAAAGACAAATATCATGATTCCTAGAAGTAGATTTGCTTCATCAGAGGGCCCATGCATTTGCACTTTGTTATACATATTGTGAAAATTGCTGTGTTGTATGGTTGTACCAATTTATGCTGGCTCCAGTAATATATGATGGTGCCTACTTCCTCACAGCTTTGTCAACACATTTGGCAAAACTTTGGGATTTGTACCAGTCTGATGAGTGGATGTATGTCCAGGTAGTATCAATTCACATTTCTCTTAAGGGTCATCTGTATTTCTTTTCTATAAAATGTCTGTTCATATCGTTTGGCTATTTTTCTCGTGGGTTGTTTTTTATGTTGTAATAATTTGCACAAACTCTTATATATTAGAAAGACTCAGTCCTTTATCTTTGAATCTGGTTTGTCATTTACCTTTTGACTTGGCTTATAGTCTCTTTTGCCAGGCAAAATGTTTTTATTTTTTTATATAATCAAGTTTAGCAATCTTTTATGGTATGTGGATTTAGGACAACTCCCGTACCCCACTTTTCTCTTTCAGAGTGTTCTTAGCTATTTTGAACTTCAATTGTTTAAGAAAAAAAAAAAAAAGATAAATGGGGCACCCGGCTGGCTCAGTTGGTAGAGCATGCAACTCTTGATCTTAGAGTCACGAGTTTGAGCCCCATGTTGGGTGTAGAGCTCACTTTAAAAAAGAAAAATAGATAAAACAAAAAACCAGTCTCCACTGGACATGAATCAAAATTCTGATGTCTTGATGGTTAAAAACAACTAAGCATCCCCTTTTCCAGAATTCCACCTTAGCTTGGATCCTTTCTAGCTAGAGGTGCTACTACACATACCGAAGGAAACTGGAAGGGAATGAAGAAAAGTCATTGCTTTACTAGGGTGCTGGGATGAGGGATGCCTTTTTTCTCCATATTCCAATGAACTGTGCTATATTGTTCTTAGAATAATTTAAAATATAGTGCTTATTTAAGAAATGACCTCTTAAAAAACAAACAAAAACAAAAGAAATGACCTCTTTCTAATTTAAACAATAGATAGTTCCTCATTTATATAATGAGAATAATAATAGCACCTAAAGATAAAGAAACAAAGTCCCAAGGAGGTCAAAGCAACTTGCCCAAGGTCATTCAGTATGTGAACGGCAGTGCCAGGCCTCAAAGCCAGGTTGTCTGACAAAGGACATGTCTTAACCACAAGGATATACTGTCGCCTGTGAGTGCATCACGACATAACAAGAAAAAATGAACAACCAAGAGGCTAGAACTGTAACATAAAAGACCATCACTAAGTCCCAATGGAGAAATGGGTGGAGAACATGAGCGAATAATTCGCTTGGGAGGAAACGCAGCTTGTTTGTTAACCCTATTCTAGCTAGAAGCTTATCTGACCCTCCCTCACGCTAGCTACCGGGTCCCGCAGTCCTGGCCCTCATGCCAACCCCAGGGGCCCAAAGCACCCGTCTCTCCCTGCTGTGCTTCATCAGCGAGGTCATGGAGACTTTGCAGTGGAGACCCCCTTCAACCCAGGCCCCCACACTTACATGATCAGCCACGTTGGTGTGGCCTCCTGCGTGGATGAGGGCCCTGGCCACGTCCTCAGAGCCACAGAGGACTGCGTAGTGGAGGCAGCTCTGTTTTTTCTAGAGGGAAACAGGCATCAGTGCCATATCCTGAAAGCCCCTCACACGGGGACTTTGGGATCCATTATTCCATTTGTGTCTCACAACCCCCGGGACAATTACCCCTTGAACCCTGAGGCTGGAGAAATCAATTGCCTTGCCAAGTCCTGGTGATGAGTAAAAGGAGCTCACTGTGGTCCTGGCTTTTCCTTGCCTCCTGTCACAAACTCCAGAACATACATCAAAGCCTGCACAATTCCTAGGCCGGTAAAGACACACAGAGTATACTCTGAGGTTTTCAAAGAGAGGAATAAATAAGATTTGCTAGCACAGATCAAACCCCACCTGGCACACACTGCCCCGCTAGAGCTGGTCTCAGCATGTCTGGGCAGGAGCCAGGCAGCGCCAGGGCAAGGCTTCATCCCGATGGGCCTTCTAAGTGCCCTCCTTCAATCCAAGCGCACCCCCAGTCAAACAACGATCTCACATGAGATACCCCCTCCCCCTAACTCTGCCAGGCAGACCCCTCTAAGCAATCAGGGGTCCCAGGCTGCCCAGACTGTTACCCCAGGACTTTCAGTTTTGAAAACCAGGATGGTATGGGGCAAACTGGGACGAGCTGGTCACCCCCCCAAAGTCCTATCTGAACTGAGTGCACAGGGTGAGTGGGAAACAGTCCACCTCCCAATGGCAAATGTACTCCCTTTGGGTTAGCCCCCACTCCAGAGACCCTGCGAGGGGTGGGGGTGTCCAGGTAGAATGTGCCCACTACCAGAAACCTCAAGCCAAGGCGAGAGCACAAGGCCCAGTGCAGTGGGCAGCTCCAGCCCTGCCAATGACCACCAGCTGGACACGACCTCCCCAGTCCCTAAACTCCTATGCTGCTGCTGCTGGGGAGATGGCCTTGACATTTCACTTCTTGTGCCCCCTCCCAGTCCTAAGCACTGTGCTGGGCACTGAGACAGGGTTGCTGCCCAAAGAGCAACACCGTGCCAATGGAAGGACCTAGCTGGGTGCCCTGGGGCAGCTGCTTCCACCCTCTGGGTGGACCTTGGTGTCATCCCGACACCCTGGGGCAGCAAGGTGTACCTGCTAGAGGAGTTCTGCAAATTAAGTGTTTTGTGACTTATAAAGTATTATTCACATTGAAGGGGGGTTAACATTGATATTATTATTGAATTTACGTTTGTCATTTTGCTACTGATTTTCTGTATGTCTCCTGTCTTTTTTGTTCTTCTGTTTCTCCTTGGTTGCTTTTGTGTTAAATATTTCTAGCATATTTTAATTCCTGGGCTTTTTCACTATTTTTGCTAGCATATTTTATTTATTATTATTGCTTTATTATTGAAATTTAGAACAAATAGAGAATTCCAGACCCTGAAGCCATGCAATCAGCCAAGACAGATTATTTGTCATTGATCTAAAAGTAAAAAGCTAAACAAAACAAAAACGCCAACTCCCTACCTAAAGCCACAACGCCCCTTTTTCCAGGACACGGAGAGAATTTCCAGTGGCTGACTTAAGGAGTCAGCAGTGAGAGAGAGAAGAGGCCTGACCCAGGCTCCAGCTCTGGGGACTGATGTGGCTCCTGCACAGGCAGGGCAAACCTTCCAGGCCATGAGCTCTGCAGTCCGGGGAGTAGGCTTTTCAGACTCAGCTTTGCTTCTTGCCAGCTTGTGACCCGCGAAAGTCATTGAATCTCTCTAAGCTTCCGTTTCTTCATCGGTATAACAGGGGTAATTTTTCTGAAGGGATTGTTATAAAGGGGACTCATGAACTACCAAGGACCCCGCAATAAGAAGACACCAACAGGTGCTGAGCTCCTAGCACCTCCCAGGCACTGGGAGGAGTATTTACTCCTCACAGCATTATAAAAATGTGACTACATATCATCCTCCTATTATAGTTGGAAAATGAAGCTCAGAGAATTTAAGTGACTTGGCCTCGGTCACAGAGCCCCGCAGTGGAGAAGCCAAGACCAGACCCCAGGCCTGCTGCCTGAGGGCCCCTATTCACGCACGTTCAGGAATCACCGTGGCTGCTACTGTGGGCACGGTTAGAGTTAGGCTTCAGAAGCCAAGGGCAGACATCCGTCCCAGGGGAGGACTGACTACCTGGGTGAGGGCATTCACACAGCTCCCGGCCTCAAGGAGCAGCTGTACACAGTCGGGGTGGACGCCTTCAGCCGCCACGTGCAGGGCAGTCAGACCTTTCTGAAACACACAGGGAGAGGTATGAGGACGGCAGGGAGGCTGAAGCCAGACCCTGAGAGGAGAGGGACCCCTCCCACTAGGGCTCCAGGGCTCTGGGAGCTCTCCACGGCCATGCTACTGAGGACAATAACCTGCGTCATTATTTGTGGTTCCCTGAGCCCAGTACCTGATTTTCTCACGTTGAGGAGCATGTGGTACATTGATTCCCACCTCCACATCCCTGCTCACGTTCTCCCCCTCCAAGCTGCCTCACCCCCTGCTCTCTGTCTATTCCTTCTTACTCCAGGAAGCCTCTAGCAGGGGAAAATCAGGCTGCACCTCAGGCCGTCCATTCCTCGAAAGCAGGGAGTGAGTGAGCATCTCTGCACCCTCTGGGCGATGACTCACTGCGTTCTGCTCCTCCAGGTCCAGCCTGATGTCCACGAGCCGCCGCAGCACAGCCAGGTGGCCCCGGCTGGCAGCCAGGTGAAGGGCCGTATTCCCCTCCTGCAGGCAGAAGGGCTCCCGAGGGACCGGTAGAATCATAGACCCTTCAAGGCCCTGGGGACCTGCTGGAAATGCCCCTCATTGTATAGACATGGAAGCTGAGGTCCAGAGAGGGGAAGTGACACATCGGGGGTCACAGAGCGAGTCGATGAAAAACTGCAGCCCCGAACCCTGGGCCAATGTCTCCCTGCCTGTGAGAAGTGTGCCCCAAACTACAACCAGGGGCACTTACAAGGGCCAAGTCCTGGTCTTTCCTCACACTTGAAGGCAGACACAATACTTGGGGGGAAAAAGAATCCCTACTTACCATGCCCCTGTCTAAAGCCAGTCCCTCTTTGAGCCATCCTCGAACCATCCCCTTCCCCTGCTCAAGGCCACAGCTCCAAGGACTCTCCTTGGTGCTCAGGTTGTGCCCGGGGCAGCCAGCTGCATGGCCCAATTCAAGATGGTAGCTTCTCATTGAATAGTGTGGTCGCGCTGACCATACTACTTAAAACCACAACTCTGGGGACGCCTGGGTGGCTCAGTGGGTTAAGCGTCTGTCTTTGGCTCAGGTCATGATCTCGGGGTCCTGGGATCGAGCTCTGTGTTGGGCTCCCTGCTCAGTGGGGAGCCTGCTTCTCCCTCTCCCTCTGCCCCTCCCCCCGCTTGTGCTCTCACTCTTGCACGTGCTCTCTCTAATAATAAAATCTTTTTTTTTTTTTAAGATTTTATTTATTTGACAGAGAGAGAGAGATAGCAAGAAAGGGAACACAAGCACAGGGAGTGGGGGAGTGGGAGAAGCAGGCTTCCCGCTGGGCAGGGAGCCCGATGCGAGGCTTGATCCCAGGACCCTGGGATCATGACCTGAGCTGAAGGCAGACGCTTAACGACTGAGCCACCCAGGCGCCTCTCTCTAATAATAAAATCTTAAAACAAAACTGCAGTTCCCACCCTCTGTCCTCCTAATCCCTGATCTTGCTGGACTTTTCTTTCTCTTTTCCCCCATAGCACTGATAACTTAACACTATCATTTGCTTATATACTATGCTTATTATTTATTGTCTGACTCTTCCTGATAGAACATAAACACCTCAAGGGCAGGGATTTCTATTTTTGTTCTCCAATGTTTCCCAAGTGCCTAGAATAGGGCCTGGGGCACATGGCAGACATTCAATAAAATATTTGTTCAATGAGTAAATACTGTGATGGAGAGATTGACATGTGTCTCCTGGAACTTGAGAACCACAGGGCTGGTAGTTGTCCACACTTAAGAAGTCTAAAGGTGACAGTGACACAACCAAGAGAGGTGGCTACCCTGGGTGTGGCAAAGGGCACACTGTTCTTTGTATCAGAAGCGGCTCTTGCCAAGGGCAGCCTGATGGGGTTGTCCTTAAAGGGATCTTTCTGCAGGGGCATCTGGGTGGCTCAGTCAGTTAAGCATCCGACTCTTGATTTCAGCTCAGGGCATGATCTCAGGGTCATGAGATCAAGACCCATATCAGGCTCCATGCTCGGCGGGGAGTCTGCTTCTCCCTCTCCCTCTGCTACTCTAAAAATAAATAAATCTTTTTTTTTTTTTTTAAGGGAATCTTTCTGCAGAGGACAAGTGTATGGTGAAGGGGCCCCAGCAAAGAGGAGAGCTGGAAGGGGCCAGCCAGAGAAGAAGTATGTCTCTCAGGAAGAACCACACGTAGAGAACCAGAGCAGGGGCCCCTGAGGGAACCCGCAAAGGCATCAGAAGGGACAAGCCAGCTTCAGCCATTCATCAAGCCCAGAAGGGCTCTGGGACAGATCTAGCTACACCAGTCATGGGGGCTTCTAGCTCAAGGTCTTTTCCTCCGCCCCGGCCTGTCTCAGCACCTTCCCGAGGAAGAAATCAAGACATGCACATTGGACCAGAACTCTTAAGGGCCCAGTGAGGGGGTGAACATATACCAATGCCAAAGTGGTACTTAAAGCAGCTATAAACATACCTCCCCTCATGAGAACTCCACACATACATAAAACAGCTATATCCTATGGGATCGAAGATGAAACATTTAAATTTCTTCTATGATCATTACCACGTTGCATTAATAAATAAAAGTTAAGTTTAAAAAAATCCCCTCAATGACAACAACAAAATGTCCCCTGAACAGCCTTGTTTGCTTCTTGCCCACTCTCTCCGCAAATGTGCAAACAGCTGCCTAGCTGCTGCAGGCACTGACCGGGCTGGGGGAGGGGGTGGCCATGGTGTGAAGTCTGTGTTCGAGGAGACACAAAGGAAGTGGTGAACCACTGGGGGCCAATATGTGCCCCCAAGTAGCAGGGCTGTGAAGACAGGGGCAGGGTTTTGTTTTCCCTCTGGGTTATAAATATCCACATATTGCCCTTTTCTTTTTCTTCAAGATTTTATTTATTTATTTGACAGAAAGAGAGAAAGCACACGCACAAGCAGGGGGAGTGGCAGGCAGAGGGAGCGGGAGAAGCAGGCTCCCCACTGAGCAGGGAGCCTGATGCAAGGCTCGATCCCAGGACCCCGAGATCGTGACCTGAGCTGAAGGCAGACGCTTAACCAACTGAGCCACCCAGGCGTCCCACACACATCTTGCTCTTTGAAGGTGCAGGTGGCACAGCCCCCCTAACAGAGCACTCTCACTCTATCTGGGCAGGTAGGGGGCTCAGAGGCAGGAGACCTGGGCAGAAGGAGGCCATGGCATTGGGTTCAGTGTCCTCTCCCCTCCTCCTGTGAGGATGCCCAGCCTCTCTATCTCTGGGACACAGCCCCTTGATATTCCCAGGGGATTTAATCACTACCTCTGGGCTTTCTAAGCCTGCTTAACATCACAACACCGGTGGCATGCCCTGTGTAGTCACAGGACCATCTTAGCAGGCTGTGGGGTCCTAGCAGGAATCAGACCTTTAACGGCACTGGGTCTTGAAAAGCATATTATTAAGCCTCCTGCCCAAATGAAATTCAAAACGAAAACATCTTTCACCTGAAAATACAAAACTTAACAGGGGCATGCAATTTTTTTTAAAAGAATTTTTTATTTATTCATCTGAGAGTGAGTGAGTGAGAGCACAAGCATGGGGGAGGGGCAGAGGGAAAGGGAGAAGCAGACTTCCGGCTGAGCAGGGAGCCCAAAACAGGGCTAGATCCCAGGACCCTGCGATCTCAACCCGAGGCAAAGGCAGACGCTTAACTGACTGAGCAACCCAGGCGCCAATAGGGTCATGCAATTTTAAAAGCTAATCTTTCTAGAATTTCTGACTGCGAGATTCTGGGTAAGCTCATTAAAGCTGTGCTTTGCTTGTTTTCCAGTTTTGCTGTTCCTGCCCTCCTGGCACCCTGAATACAATCATGTTTTTACCTCCGAGGTAGAAGCACCCTGGCAGGGGGTGTCCTTTACTCCTCTCTGTACTCCCAGTTCTTGGCCCACATCCTACACAGTCTAGTCCAGAGCATGACCTGCTCAGCCCATTTCCAGAATGACCGAAACCAGCCTGATCTGAGTCTCAAGACCAAAAGGATGAGTGTAGACAGGTAGAGTCGGTGCAAACCCCAAGGGCTTAGTGCCCCAGGAGGCAGCTTGATGAGAGGGAGCTGCCCAGGGCTGGGCATCAGGTTGCTGGTTCCAAACCCAGCCCAACCTCTGTCTTGCTGTGTGACCCTGGCTAAAGCATCCCCCTCTCTGGACCTCCGATCTATAAAATGAGAAGGTTGAATTGGTCCTCAATAAAGGAACTTCCAGTTCTAAGACCCTGTGTGCATTTGCCTGTCACTAGCTTATAGACAGAACTCCTCTATGCTGGCCAAGCACATTAATCAGAAGATTAATAATGGAGTTTGTCCCTTTATTGGAAGTGTTGTTTAGAATTTGCTGCAACATACTTGCCTAATGATTCACAATGGCCCACTAAAATGAGTCATTTTCAGGGTAGTCCCCTCAGGCCCAGCCCTCACCTCTCCTCAGATTGATGAAATCCTGCTTGAAGCTCTCCACCCTGAACCAACTGCTCCCTCCTCTGGCCTCTTATCCTATTTTTGCCATGAGCATAGTAGATGACTAAATGACAAAGAAAGTAAATAACCAGCGGGTGCGTGGCTACCACCGCCCCCCAACTCTTCCCCTCATCCGAAACAACAGACAGCCCCAAGGGCATCACAATCCTGCTCAAACCCATTCCAGGCAGCACCACCAGCCAACAGATTTGCCATCCCAGCTCCCCACACCTGATCACAGCTTTCTACTAGGGTGGCAGCTCGGGTTCCTTGGGTGAAAAACTGTCTCTCGGATATCTTTGGGCTCCTCACGCGCAGCACGGGACGGGCCCATAGCATGTGCTTGAAAAAGGCCTGCAGGATGAATATCCGACCCTCTCTGTCCTTGAGCCGCCTGCCCTTCCAACATGCTGGAGTCAGAAGTAGGCACAGGTCAGCTGCCAGAGAGCGCCCACCCTGGTCAGGAGCCCAGAGCTTGGACCTCCCCTGGGACCCAGTTACAGTACCTTGTCTTTCACACTGTGGTCACAGCCAGAGCCCACAAGGAAGTCCAGAGCATCCAGCTGCCCGTGCTCAGCAGCCCGATGGAACGCCGTCCTTCCCAGCTGACCGGGGAGGGGAAGAAAGTGACCCTTCTGTACCCTGTAGGAGGCATGCCCACACTGCCCACCTAGCCACCACTCAGGGCTTGCAGGGGCCTCTCCTGCCCCAGCAACTCTCCCTTCGCCTTGTCCTACACACCTTACCTGGAAAGCCTAGACCCAACTTTCCAACAAGACCCACTGGGTGGGGTCCCTCCCCCACTGAAATCCTTCTGTGGCTCCCTGCTGTCTACTGAATAAAGGACAGATTCCTGAGGCTTGAGGTTGGTGGAGATTTCCATGAGGGGCTCCCAACATGGCCCTGGCTCTCACTCCCAAAATTCTAGTCCATCTGAACTCACATACAAAGGGCCCTTTTCCACCTCTAAAGCTCTGAAAATGCTCTTCTCTCTGTTTACAAAATCTCCCTGCTTTCCAATCTTACCAACAAAATCCAAGTCATTCACTAAATGCCACCTCCTCCAGGAAGCAGAAAGCAATAGCGCCCATCTCTAACCTATCTAGTTAGTCCTCATCAGAACCTCTCTGAGGGAACTGACCATTTTCCTCCTATGTCCCTCTCATTTGTGCTCTAACACCCTTTCTAGACCAGCAGTTCCCTAAGGTGGGGTCCAGTCTGCACTACTCACAACTCAAAGGATGCACTCAAGGAATGGGCAAGAGTGGCCCCAGGAGCCCCAAACCCAATGGGAAAGACAAGTAGCCTCAAGGCCACTCTCACCTTGTCAGCATGGTCCAGCGGCACATCCTCCAGGTCCTCCATTATGAACGCCAGCACCGGCACGTGACCTTTTTGGGCTGCACAGTGTAGTAAGGTCAGGCCGTCCTGGAAACAACATGGTAGACCAGGGTGGTCCCTACAGTCTATGAAGGGGGGCCCTTCTCACACCCTGGCTGTCTCCCAAACGGTGAGTGTTTGCAATCCAGAACACAGCTTTCCCACAGAAACAACACAGTATGTAAATGGGGATGGACCCCTGAGCCACCCATGGGTGCCCCACTCAGCCTCACAGGGGCTGGTGGGAGTCAGGATGCCAGAGTTCAAATCCCAGCTCCAGCATTGATCAGCAATGCAGTGTGGTCTTGACCAAGTTATGTGTACCTTCATGAGCCTCCATTTTCTCCTAGGTCAAAACAGGATAACCCCTGACTACCTCATTTGGTGGCTGAGGGGGTTGGACAGCATCACCTACAGGAAGTCTTTTTATATGTTGAAAAATAACTCAGGATGTAAGGTGAGGTTGTATAGCACTAACAGTCCCCAGAATACCCCTCACAGGACATTATTACAAGGTTACAACATCTGCTTGCCTTGATAAGGCCCCAAATGAGAAACGAGGTGACTAAGTGCCCAGGATCTGTCTCTAGGAGGTCACTTCCTAACTTTCCAGGGAGGGCTGAGAGCTGATGGAATCTACAAAAATGAGGAGGTGTTAAAAAAGGAGAAAGTAGACTCACAATGGAATCACTTGTGCTAAGGCCCACCCACATCACCAAACCGAGACTTAATACCTAACCTAACTGCAACTTCAGCCTCTCCCAGATAAGTAATCTTAACCAGTCAGTCTGGAATTTCCTGGTCAACACTAGGGAGGAAATCCACCTGACAGACACCCCCACTGGCCCCCAAAGGAAGGTGATCTTGCCTAAAACAATCCATTCTTTGCTAGAATAACTTCCTTGCCCCACTCTCTTTTACCTATAAAAGTCTTTCATTTTGTACAGCTCCCCAGAGCTCCTTTCTATTTGCTAGATGGGATGCTGCCCAATTCATGAATCATTGAATAAAGCCAATTAGATCTTTAAATTTACTCACTTGAATTTTGTTCTTTAACAGAGGGGAAGTGGCCAGGGTGGGAAGAGGCGCAGGCTGGAAGAAGGTCTCTTGGCCCCAGAAGCAATATTTAAGTGAAGGACGTTTGCAAATCCTATGTTTATAGCCCAGAGTTTCTACCAAGACCTTGCATTATAGCTTGAGTATTTGGAGTCCTGTTTTTCAAATAGATTGCAACCATCGATGGGTCATAAAAATCAATATATTGAATGATGTTGTACATCTTGACAGTAGTTTGGATTACACTGGAGTAAAATTTGTCAAATCTCAGTGAATATAAACTTAAGATTTGTGTATTTCATTTTAGGTAAAGAAATTGAATTCTAGTTAATATTATAAATGCTGAAGTATTTAGAGGGAAGTATAGTGATGTCTAATTTATTTTGAAATGCTTCCAAAATTTATAAAGAACTCTAAAAGCTCATTAATGAGATATTAAACAACCCAATTAAAAATCATTTGGACACAAGGAAGATATATGGATGGCAAATAAGCACATAAAAAGATACCTAACACCATTAGTCATTATTGAAATGCAAATTAAAACTACAAAGAGTTTCTAACAATAGAGTATGGAAAGGGGAAAAATGCTAACATTCCAGTAGAGAAACCTGGCTGACACCACTTTACCCACGTGATTAAGTGTGAAATTATGGTTTATAATAAGAAATATGTATTTGGTCTTCATCCTGTTTCTGGCACAGAGCTCCTAAAACCCTTGGTATTTTCTAAGTGTACAGAGTGATTAAGGTGTCTATTGTTATGTTAATTTGGTGACAAGGGAAGCCACGGTAACCTGAAGATGCGGGCTGGTTGCCTGGGAAACCAACTCGATTAGAGGGTTAGAACTTTCAGTCCCACTCCCTGACCTCCAAGGAGGGGAGAGAGGCTGGAGGTTGAGTCAATCACCAATGACCAAGGATTTAATCTATCAAGTCTATGAAATGAAGCCTCCATAAAAATGCAAAAGGACAGCATTGGGAGACCTTGCAGGTTGGTGAACAAGAATGCATCCACGTGCCAGGTCCCACGCTCCACAAGGACAAAAGTTCCTTTGTTGGGGACCTCACCCTATGTGTCTCTTCATCTGGCTATTGATTTGTGTCCTTTAATATCCTTTGGAATAAATTTGTGATCTAGTGAGTAAACTGGTCTCCTGAGTTCTGTGGGCCCCTCTAGCAAATTAACCAACCTTAAGGAGGAGGTCGTGGGAACCTCTGACTTATAGCCAGTCAGTCAGAAGCCCAGGTGATAGCCTGGACTTGGGATTGGCTTCTGAAATGGGGGTGGTCTTGGGGGACTGAGCCCTTAACCAGTGGAATCTGATGCTATCTCCAGGCAGATAGTGTTGGAATTGGGTTAAATTTGTGGGATACCCAGTCAGTGTCCACGGAGAATTGAACTAATTGCTTGTGATATGGAAAAAACACACACATTAGAATTGGTGTCAGAACTGGATCAAGGTAACATCACCAGTGACAGGCCATATTGGTATTGATAAAGTTAATTCTTATATTGAGACCTACAAAATAGAGGCTGCCCCAGTGACCTGACCCAGGTCACAAATCTAATCCTACCTCTGAGGCACCTGGGTGGCTCAGTCAGTTACGCGTCTGCCTTCAGCTCAGGTCATGAACTCAGGGTCCTGGGATCAAGCCCTGCTTCGTGCTCCCTGCTCTGCTCAACTTCTCCCTCTCCCTCTGCTCCTCTCCCCTGCTCATGTTCTCTCATATATTCAAATATATATATATATATATATATATATATATATATATATATATATATGTATGTATATATATATGTATCAGCCTGCACTTACAGGAAACCTAACACACACTCAGTTGTACTAACCCCCCCAACCCTAGAAAACAGGACCCGCTAGCCTTACGAGGAAATCCCCCTAGAAGCCAATCCTGCCATTTCTGTTGTTGCTTTGGGGGGCTCTACAAAATTCGCTCTTGCCCCAAATCCCTCCAGAAGACAGCTCAACTACTCTGAAGGGTGTTACTTTGATTCCTCTTATGTGAATAAGGAGGCTGCCCAGAGGGCTAGCGACTGTCCCAACATGACAGAGTGGTAAAGGGTCAGGGGCACTAGAAGAAGGAGGCTTTTAATGCTGATGGGAGAGGCACCTCAGCACTTCTCCTGGCCCCAGTGGAAACAGCTAGCATCCCAGCTTCACAGGGCTGAGTTCAGCTGGGGCTTCTGGAGGGTTCTCAGAAGGCAGGGCAAGTTGGGACGGCAGAGCCACGTGGGGAGCAGGACGGGGCAGAGATGGGGGTAGATGGCAGAGGTGGGGCACATCAGTGCAGCAGGGCCAGGGAAACAGAGAGGGCAGGGGCTTGGGGAGCAAGGGGGCTGCCAGCTGAGGCCTTACCTTGTTCTCACAGTGGATCTTGGCCCCAGAGTTGACCAGGATCTGGAGGATCCGTAAGTGGCCGAACCAGGCAGACAGGAGAAGCGCGTTCATCCCAAACTGGGGGAGAGGACACGGGAAGGAGGGGAGGTGAATGTGAGCAGGTAGGGCTGTGCCACCTGGGCCCATGTCTGCACTGAAAATCATACAACCATAAGGGACCATAAGTGCCACCCAGGCCAGGGAGGACCAAGCTTCAGGAATGTCAAAACCATGGCATTTTTTTATTTTTTATTTTTTTAATTTTTTAAAAAAGATTTTATTTATTGGGATGCCTGGGTGGCTCAGTCAGTTAAGCGTCTGCCTTCAGCTCAGGTCATGATCCTAGGGTCCTGGGATCAAGTCCCACATCCGGCTCTTTGCTCAGTGCAGAGCCTGCTTCTCCCTCTGCCCCCTCCCCCACCCCCCACCCCTGCTTGTGCACTCTCTCTCTCTGACAAATAAATAAACAGAATCTTAAAAAAAAAAAAAGACATTTTTATTTATTTGAGAGAGAGAGAGAGAGCACGAGTGGGGGGCGAGGGGCAGGGGCAGAGGAAGAAGCAGACTCCCCACTGAGCAGGGAGCTGGACACAGGGCTCAAACCCAGGACCCTGGGATCATGACGTGAGCCGAAGGCAGACGCTTCACCGACTGAGCCACCCAAGCACCCCTCCAGGGCATTTTTTTTTTTTTTTTTTGAAATAGAGGCTGAGAAACTATTGCAAACTTTTGTTTTTGCTAAATAAAATTTAAAAATAGGGGTGCCTGGGTGGCTCAGCCAGTTGAGTGTCCAAGTCTTGATTTCTGCTCAGGTCATGATCTCATGGGTCGTGAGACTGGCCCCACATCAGGCTCCGCGCTGGGCGTGGAGCCTGCTCAGGCTTCTCTCTCTCCCTCTCCCTCTGCCCCTCCCCGCGCTGGGGCTGTCTATAAATAAATAAATAAATAAATAAATAAATAAATAAATAAATAAAAATAAAACAGCTACCATCTATCCTCCCCATCATTTAATAAAGAAGGAACATTTTAACATAAAAAATTTGGGAGAAACTAATCTCAGAATATGCTCTTTCCAAATACAGCTTCATGAAAAACACACTACATTGTTCTTATTTTCTGATTTGCTATGGTTGGTGAAGATCTCAAGCTGGACTGGTGTTTGGGAGCCCACTGTTTGACTCTCCTACAGGACGGCCTCCAGGCAGACGGCTTAAGCCTGCAGACACCTCACCCCTCACAAGACATGCACTGCACTAACAACCACTGCTCACTGTTGGAAAGTCCCTCCTTCCTCTGCACTGAAATCTGCGTCCCTGTACCTTCCACCCCACCGGCACTTTGCAGCAACTGAGAATATGTCTGGGCCCTTTTCCGATGGTGGCCCAGCACCTGTATGTAGGATGCTCTTCCTCAACATCTGTGAAGTACTCCGGGATCATGAGAGCCCCTTCACCGACCTCTGCCCTCATGGGGTTCTGCCTATGACCCCGCACTGGGTAGAATCTCAGTGACTGTGGGCTGGCTGGCTGAGGGAGAGAATGAACACACAAAGGGCAGAGTCCATGGGGAGAAGCCCACAGGAGACTGGGAATGAAAAGGGTCAAGGCTCAGAGCCTCCTGCCAGTGGGAACCCCAGGGGTGTTTCTATATCCTAGTTCCAAGAACTGTCCAGGACAGAGCCCTATGGCATATCTCTCGAGACCTTCCCCCCAACAGCAGGATCTCCCTCTCTGGTCTCCCCCCACCCTTCTGTTAAGTAAAGTAGGCATGCCCATCAGCTTTCTTATTTTTCAAAATATATTACTATTTGCAAAGGAAACAAAAGATTTATAAAAGCACTGTCTCTTACTATCCTCCCTCATATCTTCTTTTCTCACCGATTCCCTCAAGGAAGAAATAACAGAGCACAGTGGTGATAGAGGGGGGTCTTTGTGGGCAAAGGCCTGTTGCATGAGGTTCCAGTATTTTATCAGGAAACTCAGGCTAAGGATCCCAGACATTCTCCTTCCAGGTCACCTCTAAAGGAGGCCTAAGCGAATGCAGAGAGATGGGGCGGCAGTGGGGCGGTAGGTGTTGCTGCCCCATGCCCAGCCACAGCTTGTCATCAAGCTCCCCTTCATGTGGGGCCTGGGAGCAGAGAGAGGCCAGGGCAAAGAACGGTATTTCCGTGAAAGGTATATCTCTGCAGGGAAGTTCGTAATTCTTTAAATTTTTTTTTAATTTAGACTCTTAAATGTATCCCTGTCAAATGTCATTGGTAGACCCGGTCCTTTGCCCAAACCTATAGAGATGATTTTGTAGACCCTGTTATGCTTCAGTGCTCTCTCTCTCTCAGCAACGTGTTGCCTGCCAATTTGTTAAGTAAGACTGTCAGTCTTTTTTTTTTTTTTTTTAAATATTTATCTATTTATTTGAGAGAGAGGGAGAAAGAGCACGCACGCAGGCAGAAAAGACAGAGGGAGAAAGAGTCCTAAGCTGACTCCGTGCTGAGCACAGCCCGCCGCAGGGCCCGACTTGGGGCCATCTCACCACCCTGAGTTCAGACCTGCGCGGAAACCAAGAGCTGGCTGCTTAACTTACCGCGCCACCCAGGAGCCCCAGACTGTGAGCCTTCACTCATGTCTCCGGTTAAAGTGTTAGCGAGGGCAGAGCCTTGTGTCGTATCATGAGAGACCTACCTCCTGATGATTTTATTAATAAGTCCTTTATCAATCCATCCAATTATCTGTTCTACAGCCCATATCTCTCCCTGTTCACATGGTATCCTGAGGGACTGAAAAGGCCCTCTGAGAACTAAAAAACTCTTGAAAATGGAGAGATCTTTACAGCTGCACAAGGGAAAATTGGGATCAGTGCAGTGGCACTGGCCCCTGAAGACGGATTCCCTGTCCACCCTGCACCCTGTGTTTGCATGTCAGTGCCACCTCCACAATGATAGTGGACTCAGACCCAGAGAGAGCTCTGGGGCTCCTCCCCCGCCCTGGGACAGACAGACAGACACAGACATGCACACAGGCACAGGGCGCCTGTATGAGCGGCCCCATACCGCATCCGCATCGTCCACAGCAACCTTGTGCTCCAGGAGCAGTCGTACGGCTGGCTCGTGCCCGGCGCCCGCAGCCCAGTGCAGGGCCACCCTGCCCACCTGCCGGGAGGGAGAGAAGGGCTTGGGGCGCCAGCTGCCCACCTGGCCCACCTCCCCACACCCCCTCCCTGTCTCCCCAGCCGCAGGACGGGCACCCTCCGACCTCCACATGCTCTCGGCTTATCACAGTGGGAATGAACTGTTTGTGAGACACTCTGTCTGTCTTCTCCCCAACCAGACAATCAGCTCCAAGAGCGTAGGGACCACATCTGCCATGGGCTCTGCTCTGTCCCCAACACCTAGCACAGTGCTGGCACAGGGGAAGCCCCTTGGAAATACTGAATGAACGAATGAATGGGATGAGTAAACGACAGAATCTGGCATTAGTATCCTACTACATCCTATAAGTCCCTGCTTCCTTGTAAGTGTTTGTCCAGTGGAGACTGAGGCTTCAGTTATGAATAAAATGCTGTGTGACCTAAGGTGACTTGCTATCCCCATCTGTGCCTGTCTTGATCTATAAATAGGATTGACACTTCCTGCCTCCCTCACCTCTCCAGGGGTGAGTGAGGACCACCAGGAAACAGGTGGAGGAGTGCTCTGAAAACCAAGCTGCACCAGACACACCTGAGAATTCCTGTTACTATCACTGAGCCCAGACAGGCTCGGAAGACACAAGTCACAGACCTGTCATGTCACCCCAGACAGAACAGCCTCTGCAACAGTCAGGAATCCTACATCCAACCCCTTCAGCCTCCACTGACCTCCCACCCAGGCTGGCATCTCCTCTAAGAAAAGCCTGGCAGCCAGAAGCCCCAAGGTAGAGAGAAGCTACCCTGCATGGTACCCAGGCCTATTGCCACTGTTCCCCATCAGAGAGAATGGCTTTTCTCTCTGTCTCCTCCAGCAGGGCTATGGACCACCCCATCTGTGGCCTTTTTTGAGGCCTGATCGATGAGCTAGGTCTGCCTCCCTGCCTGGTCTTTGAGTCCCCGGGGACTTGCCTAGGCCCACAACAGTTTTACACACTCAGTGGGTCATCAGAAAACTAAGCTAAATTGCTTCCTCACGCATGCTCAGCCTCTCTTGCTCTGGCCTCTCATGGTCTTCAACCCCTGGACTTCTGACCACAGGCGCCATTCTGTCTTTGTCCCTCCAGGCTTCTGTTCCTTTCTCTCCATCTGTCAGCCTCTGACTTTTGGCCTTCGACCTCCTGCCCTCCTGACTCTAACCTTTGTTCCTTGGGTGTGCCTTTCAGATGGGTGACAGGAGTGAAGAGAATGAGCTCTCAAATTGCCCAAGCCTGGCTGGGAATCCCAACCCTGACCTCGGACAAGACCGCAGAGACCTTGAGACAACGTGGACAATCTGAGCCTCCCCCAAGTTAACACATGCAAATGCTCCTGCCCTGGGCTCCATGAACTGTCCGTCCCATGTGTAGGTGTCACCGTGGCAGGCACCATCCCTATCCAAGCCTGCAAGCCTCCCCATTTGGAAGAGCCCCTTTACGAACGTGGTTTCTGGCCCTGACGTTGACTCTCCTCTCGATCAGTTCCTTCATCCTCCCGATGTTGTTCCGTCGGGCGGCCTCATGGAGCTGCCTCTCCAGAGGAAGCACTAAGGGCAGAAAAGGGGATGCGGGATGAGGGGGAGGGCCCTCACACTGCATGAGGAGGAGAGGTGAACAGCTCCTCCCTCCCCTGAATGTCTCCCAGACAGGGGCTCTTCCAGCTTGGACTGGTGGTGGGGATGCCTCTCCTCCCTTTGGAGGTTGGGGACTTCCCCAGACAAGCTGCTTTTCTTCACTAACTCACCACAAGTCCACACGACCAGGCCTTAGCAAAACCCTAAAGATGGGACAGCATGGGCAAGACTGTCCACGGGAGCCAGGTGTGTGCCCATCTCGGCCCTCAGAGGTCCCCCATCATCCAGTTTTTCATGACCCCAAGAGCAGCTCTTGAGGAAGGGATGGAATTCATTCCCACTGGAGCTGATAACTACCTTTCCCATGGCTTTGTCCGGTGAAGAAGGCAGCCAGGAGTTACTGAGCCACCTACTTCATGAGGCTCGTCCAAGGCCAGAGGCACGTTCACCTGGCTTCCTTGTCTTTGTCCCTCCATCTCTTCTCCCTTCATCCCCAATCCTAACCAGCTGTCACCTCCCAGCTGTGGGGCCCACCCTGATCTGCCTTCTCTCAAGGCTCCTCTTGCCTCAACACTGCATCATTATCTCAGACTAGAGGGAGCTCTGAGGCCTGCCATGGGCAGCGGTGGGCTCAGAGGGTGGTGGCCAAGCCACGAGGACCCAGGCCTGGTGACGTGGTCCAGGGCTCATCTCACCAGACCCCCACGCTGCTGTCATCCTGACTGCTCTTGGCTTGTGAGGATGCTGGTGTCCTTGGCTGAACCGCAAGCTCCCTGGGGGCCCTGGCTACACCTGACCTTTGTTGATCCACCCACAGCTCACAGCAGGCCCAAAGCTGGAGCTTTGGGCCATAAAACTCTGCTTCCATGAGTGATACATATCAGACTAATAGATACCCGTCCCTCCCACAGAAAGGTTTAGACACACTAGTACAAGACACGAGTATTTGCTGGCCCTTTGCGTGGTCATTACAGGGCAGATAATCTGTGGTCTGATTGCTGCCAAACCCACATCCTGCGTGTTTGGTCCAATGTGAATGTCCAGATCCAGCCCCTTTGTATATCCAGGGACAGGTGGCCAGTGTTTGGGCAGGGAAGGCTAGGATGAGCTCAGGTGACAGACAGGCCTGCCATCCGTTTGCTTTCCAGATATAGAAGAGGGTCCGGGGCTTTCCAGGGCCTTATAGGTAAAACCTAGGGACCTCGGAGCTGCTGCCCCAGGCAATCACATGGCCCTAGGTTCAACTCTGGCGAGTCACTTCCAGGACTCCAGGCCATGTGACTTAATTATCCTGTGCTTCAGTTTCCTCATCTGCAAAATGGGGAACGTGAGCCGCCCTGTAGGGTTATAGTTATGATTAGATATAAGATATGAAAAGCCCCTAGCATGGTATCTAGCAAATAGTGCCAGCATCATCATCACTATTATTCCTATAAGGCAAAGGGTAATAAATTCTGGTGCCCCTCTGGGTGGGGCCTCCCTCACTCAGGGCCCTCTAAGCCCATGAAATCCCAAACAAGGTCAGCACCCTCCCTATCCACCTCCCTGCATTATTATTCTCCATAGCACCCCTCACCACAGACATATGTCTGCTATACTTATATATTTATTAGGTTCATTGTCTGCTTCCCGCATTAGAAGTCCATGACAGGGGAGATTTTTGTCTGATTTGTTAACTGCTATATCCCCAAATTCAGGCCCTGGCACACATTTGTTGAATGAATGAGTGATATGCAAATCATTAAATCTCTTCAGGGGCCTTTGAACTATAAGATGCTGTCCCAGTTAAGACTCATTAGTCCCCTGGAAAATCAAACCACAAGCTCAGGCAAATGGCAGGAAAGAGGCGCTGAGGAGGAGGCAGCTTCAGGTCAATATTGCAGCAGGGGAGGGGGAAAACACCACCTTCCAAGTGTGGTCTCCACTGCTAGTTCCACCCTTTCCAATCTCCAAAGGGGGTGCCTTTCCTATAGGTGAGGAGAGGGCTCTTCTGGAAGAACCCCTCTCAGATCTCAAACATCTCCAGGAAGCACTGAGTCCCCAGCTTTTGTTTCCTTAGCCTCTTGGCTGAACAACACCAAGATCCAGGCTCAGGAAAAAGAGCTGGCACTTCAGGTGAGCTTAGAGAAGCTGGGGTTCTGGTACCCACTCTGCTACTTTCTAGCAGCAGGATCCCAGGCTAGCCACGTACCCCTTGGAAGCCTCAGTTTCTTCGGTTGTAAAACTGCAGGAGGGTGAAGAAAGTTATCTGTAGCGATCCCTTCCAGCTCTGACTCCCTTTCTCTTAGCTGAAGCCTAGAAGTGGCCTGGTTTGTGTGGGCAAACAGGCACCAGTGGGAGTGGGAGCAAGCAGACCCTGCAAGGCACCAGTGAAATCAAGCCCAGTCTCATCTCCTGCATCCACCTCAACCCCATGCATCCTCTTTCTGTCCACAAATACACACTGAACCCTAGCCTTGGAGACCTTCCCCATGCTGCCTCCTCTGCCCAGAATTCCCTCCCACACACCCCAATGCTCCATTGCTGCACATTCTTTAAGGGCCAGCTCAAGAGATCCTCTGACCCAGGCAGAACCCTGCACCCTTTGAAACAGTACCTTAATAAAGCTCCTCACCGCCCCCCACTCATCCCAGTGAGGGCACTGGCACAATCCTTCTCTCTCCTCTCCCAGGGAGTGCAGCAAAAGCCTATCAGGCTGGCTGATGCCCACACGGATGCTGCTGCCCCACCTAGAGGCCCTGGCACTGAGCACACTCCATGAGGAAAGCTCGGCCGTGCGCTCATCCCACCTGCGGCACACCACAGTTCCTCTCCTCTGGGTTTCAGTTTCCCCATCCGGTATAGTCTTCATTCCCCACCCAACCTCAACATTCTGGGAGAGCGGGGGCCTTCAGCATTTCTACCACTTAAAGGCGTGTGACCTTGGGTAACTTATTTAACCATCCTGTGCCTCAGCTTTCTCTTCTGCAAAATGGCGGTAACAATAGATCTACCCGCAGGGCGTCTGTGAAGATCAACTAACATTCCTATCCTGGCTCGGCCTGGCACACAAATTATGTACTCAATACAGGATCGCATAACCCTCTTATTCGCATCACATCTAGCCAGTGTCTCCGCGGCGGCAGCTCCCTGCTTCCCGGACCCGTGGCGCCGCCGAGTCCCCGACGCGCGGCCAAAGTCCCCCCACTGGCCCGGCGCGCGTTCCTCTGGACGCCACACAGAAGCCCACGACCGAGGTGGCCGCGCGGACAGCACCAGTCGCAGGTTTGGTCGCCCCGGCAGGAGTGCGGGAATCCTCCGGGCTCTGCCCACGCCCGCCCCCAGGCCCCGCGGCGCGGCAGACTCACGGCCGTCGGTCTCCCACACCAGGGGCTCCTCCATGCTGCCGCTCCGCAGCCCGGGGGCGCGCTTCTGTCCGCCTGGGCGCGGCGCCGCGAACCGAGGGGAGGGGGCGCTGAGCCGGGGTCTGGGCGCGGGGGCTACCGGGAGCGCCGGGGTGCGCGCGGCAGCCGCTGCTCCAGACCCTTCGGTCGCGCCTGGGCCCTGGAGCACGATGTGGGCGCAGCTGCGGCAGCCTCCCCCCAGTCCTGGACCAGGCTGCAGGTGCCTGCCCACGGCTCCGCGCCTTTCACCCCCGAGGCCGGCGGGTCGGGTCGGGGCCACTCCGGGCTCTGCAGGTCCCCGTGGGCGTGTCTCCCCCAGGAGCTGTCCCAGCCTCCTAGGCCCTGGACCTTCGTGTAAGGTCTCCTGCAGGCTCCACCCTCGGGACCCCGGAGCCTGCTCAGCTGCCCCCAGACGCCTAAAGTCAGACTCCAAGGCCTTGGGCAGGCATTTAAGGAACAGACACCCCAGCAAGCCTGTAAGCATATGAAGAGATGGTGAGATTTATTCATGATCAGAAAAATACAAGTTAAAATGACGATGAGATATCACACCAATTGGACTGGCAAAATTATAAAGCTAGACAATGCCAAATCTTGGCGGCGAATGCGGAGCTGTCACAGCCAGGTGGATTGCTGGTGGGAGTAGTTTGGGGCAGCCATTCTGGAGAACAGTCTGGTAGTAATGAGGGAAACTGAACACAGCGAACTTAGAACTTAGAGTGCAGCTCTTTCCCCTCCAGTCTCAGAAAAGGACATGTAAAAGGGTGTTCCTTGCTGCCTTGTTGTTTCATGGTTGCTGGGAGTTGGAGGTGACTTGAGCATGGGGGGAGTGGAGGGGTAAAATGTGGGACTATGCAACTAGAGAAAGGAGGAGCCAGGATGCGGCTTGGGGATTGGGTGGGGGCTAGGGGAGCAGGCCCTGAAAGAATTCACCCAAGGCAGAACAAAAGAGAGAGCACTTTATTGGATACACTGCAAGGACAACAAAGGGGAGACTACCACAAGATGGTGGCAAGGGACTAGAGTTATAGGGTGGAGTGAGGAAGTTTGGGAACATATGGAATTTTCCCTTTTTTGGTAACTCTGCCTGGTTTAAAGTAGCTCATTGGTGCATTAGGGCTATTTGGAGGTGGGTCACTTAATGAGCCTGTTTGTATTCAGCTTGGTGGTCACTGAGGGCCCTTTTGCCTTGCTCAGGTTTCCATTGCCCAAGCCTGTTTCCTAAAAGCAACCTCTACAACCAGGTGTATTCACAACAAGGATTCAAACGCCCAGTGCTGAGCTGAAAAAGTACAACCACCCAGTGAGATCTATAACACAACATCAATAAATGCATGCACACAAGACAACAGAGATTGCAAAGACACAAACAAAAAGATACCCATTAAACATATCAGGGGCGCCTGGATGGTTTAGTCATTAAGCGTCTGTCTTTAGCTCAGCTCATGATCCCAGGATTCTGGGATGGAGCCCCGCGTCGGGCTCCCTGCTTAGCGGGGAGCCTGCTTCTCCCTCTCCCACTCCCCCTGCTTGTGTTCCTTCTCTCGCTGTGTCTCTCTCTGTCAAATAGATACATAAAAAAAAATTAATAATAATAAAAAAGATTAAAAAACCGTATCAGAATGGGTTGCACTTCAGACCCCTCGGGGCTGTCCATGTCTTCTCTTCTTTGCCTTTTTGGCTTTAAGGCATTTACAGCCCCTTTAGATTTAAGGTTAGGGGAGTCCCAGGCATCTCTACCCCCAAGACAAGGAGCTTATTACTAGTTCTCTGGGATCAGAGAAGGAAGAATATTTTTCAGTCACTAGCGTAAATTCAAGAAGGCTTCCTTCCCTGGAAGAGGAAGTATTTGGGATGGCCTTTGAAAAAAATAACATAATGATAATAGCTAACACTTAATGAGCCTCAATCTAAGCACTTTGTGTGGATTATCTCATTTTGTCCCCCAAATCACCCTACATGAAATGGGCATGACCATTTTATGAAGGACGAATTGAAGCACGAGAGGGTAAATAACTCTCCCTTCCTCACATGGGTAAGTGGTGGAGCCAGGGTTCTAACCCAGGTTGTCTGATTCAAGAGCCAGAGCATAAGCATTTGGCAGGTGGAGGGGACTCTGCTGGAGTCAAAGCCACAGACAGCAGGCAGTGTCTCTGCCTAAGCCCTGCATCTGGATGGATGCAGAGGTGCCGCGGAGCAGCTGGCTGGCATAAATGCCCACCTGCCACCCAAGATAGCCATAGCCCTGAGCCAGCAGAACGAAGTGGCTGCTACTTTCGCCTCTCAGAATGCTCACATCTTGGGATACACAGTGAGGAATGAAGGGGCACAGGAAACCATAGTCAGGACTTCAGTTTTTACACGATGACTGGGAGGCTGTAGAAAAATTGCATTTTTATTAAAACAACCATGGTTCAATGAACAAGGGAGTAAGATGCAAAATCCAGTGGGCCACTTTGGACAAGGCCCCAGAGGCTTGGGTGTGCACACTGCTTTATCTTGGGGGATATTTGGAGGGAGATATTTGAGGGGACCAAACCCTGGCTCTGCCTTTTTCCTGTCCCTGATGGTATGCAGAGCCCATTTTCACCCTGCTTCTCTAGGCCTCAACCTCAACCTCCCCCCCACCCCCTAACTCACTCACTTGCTCGCTCACTCTGAGGATCCCAGGTCATTCTCAAAGACAGTACTCAGTTCCACACACACGTGCTGCCTCCATCCCTTTAGCATTAGGGACTGTGGGGTAGGAGGACAGAAGAGGTAAATCAGAGACCATCACAGTTGACAGGGATGAAGAGAGAGCCTGAGAGCACAGTGCTGGGGCTTGGGGTAGGGCATGTGGGGCGGCTCCAGGACCCGTATGAGTGTGTGTGACAGAGGGATGTGATTGACCTTAACACCCAGTAGAAACAATGAGGAAATATCAAAGTGATGGAAAACTTGGTTTGACTGTGGAAAAATAATGTCAATTATACTCACTTATGAGCTCTACATATCGTTTTAGCCTATTAATTTTGTAGCTTAGTAATTATGCACATCATTTCAAATGTCTTTTTTTTTTTTTTTTTCAATCCTCATGTAGCTGGGGCCCAAGGGTACGAGAGCACTTGGCTCCAGAGGTCCCAAGCCGACCGGGTTCGGCCCCTGGCTACTGACAAAATCCAGAGGCAGAGAAATGAGTGGTGGTGAAACCAGAAAGGAATTTATTTCAGTGCAGCCAACACCTTGAAGACCACGGACTAGCATCTCAAAGACCATCTCCAAAGTGCTGAGAATATCTGTAGGTTTATATAAGGAAAATGTGGGGCAAACGTCAGTGGGTACGTGCAGGTGGGCAGTAAAGGTCAGGTCAATCATTGTCTTGGCGTCAGTCACGGGAGGCTTGCAGGCATCAGGGCAGTCCTTATTGCTTCAGGGGTTGGTAGTTTTGGTTCCCATCACAGGATGCTTTGCCCGCAGGGTCTTTTGCCTGAGTTAAGAGATGAGAAGAACCTAATCAACAAATCAACCAATCAAGAACAGATAGAGTCAATTGGAGGTAGCTGAAGCCCTCTTTCACTGGGGAGGGAAAAACAATAAAATAAACTTGCTAAATTTCTTTCAGTAGAATGAAATTTCCCCTGGCCTGCCTCAGGGCCTTTGCACTTGCCGTTTCCTTGTCCACAATTAGCTCTTTGTCATTTTTGGACTGGCTTAAGTGTCCATCCCTACCCACACTGCCCCTATCACAGCAGCCTTTGCCTCCGGAGCAGTCACAATCTGTAATTCTGGGACACACAAGTAACACTGGGTCTACCTATTCCTATTCAGAGCTCATTGCTCTGTCATTTCATACTCAAATGGTACACCAGACTAGTTTATTATTCGCTCTACGTTTATGTATATTTGAAATTTTCTATAGTAATTTTTTTTACAAAATTCCTATCTCTTAGATAAGGCAACTATGGTAAAATATTAATATGTGGTACTATTCTTCCAACTTTTCTGTAGGTTTGAAATTTTTCTAAGTAAAAATTAAGAGGAAAAAAAGAATCTGGGCGCCTGCATGGCTCAGTCGGTTAAGCGTCTGCCTTCGGCTCCGGTCATGATCCCAGGGGGATCGAGTCCCACATCTGACTCCCTGTTCAGGGAGAGTCTGCTTCTCCCTCTACCCTTCCCTCCCCTGCTCATGGTCTCTCTCTCTCTCACTCTTTCTCTCTCTCTAATAGATAAATAATATCTTTAAAAAATGTTATGGTCCCAGACCACCAAATGGAGCAGTCCCCAAACCCAGCAAGGTCAGAGCTAGGAGTAAAACCTAAGAGTTATCTGGACTCCTTGCAAGTGTTGTTTGGGGTACTTGGAACTTCAAACCTACATGTTCAGGGCTTCCATCAACTAAGGGAGTCATGTGCCCTGTTTGTCATTTTTACAGGAAGGAGGGTGGGACAAGGAAGTTATTAGCGAAAGAAAAGAAAGGATTGTTCCAGGCAAGGAGAGGACCCATGTGACAGATTACTTCACTGGTGCTGACCAGAAAATCCCTAACTTTAACTGAGATTATGTTTCTGGGGGAGGTTCAAACTAAACTTAGGTTAGGTATTCAGCTCCTGTTTGGTGACTTGGCCTAGCATAAGTGACACCATCTTGGGCCTGTGGTTTTCTTTTTTAACAATCTGAACTTCCCTGAATTCCCTGTCACTTTAAAAATAAAGACTTGCATTATTTTTCAAGGCGTTGGACCCTAGGTCTGAGCTGTGAGCCCTCTTGCCTGAAGCAAAAGGAAAAGACAAAGAGATGATTTTTTTTTCTCTTTAATGTTTTACTTAGAAAAATTTCAAACCTACAGAAGAGTTGAAAGAATAGTATCACATAATAATATTTTCCCATGTTTGCCTTATCTAAGAGATAGGAATTTTGTAAAAAAAGTTATAGAAAATTTCAAATATAAATAAAACTAGAGCAAATAAGATGATAAACCCCATATACCTATCATCCAGATTCAGCTGTTAATCCTAGTTAACTTCCTTCTCTCCCCTGCATTATTTTGAAGTAAATTCATATTTACCCATATTCAGTGTGTTTAATCCACTGAAGTTATTTTCCTTACTGATGCTCAAATTATGTCGTCTTTGGCCAAACTGGAACCTAAACCCTTTTACCTCAACCACAGTAGTCTTTAATAGCTTCCCTGCTTCTGGTGTGACAAGATACTCCAGACTGATCCAGCACATTCCCAGCACCAGACCTAGAATCAACCATTTCTAGATCCAAGGAGTCTTGGGTCCTTTTAGTGGGAAAGATACTGAGAGAACACAGTCTGGGCTCTAGGGATGATCATTGCTACTGGGTTACTCTTATTTCTAGGACCTTCCAGTGGATAGAGCTAGGAAATGATTCATCTGTTTGTTTCCTGATAAAATGTATCATGAGTTCACACTCAAGACAATGAATATAAGCTCGAATTCAAGACAACAGGGTTTTACCTAATGTTATCAAAATTACATCTGTATTTTCTTTATCCCATGGTGGAAGTCCCACTTCTCAGTGACTCCAAGATAATTCCTCATTCACTTTAACCATAATATACTCACAACAGTCTCAGAATAACAATTCCAGCATAAAAACCAACGACATGATTCCTGAACAGGTTTAAGTATTTTTAAAAAGTTTGTCTTGTAGTGCACCTGGCTGGCTCAGTCCATAGAGTGAGCGACTCATGATCTCACGATTATGAGTTTGAGCCCCATGGTGAGTAAAGAGTTTACTTAAAAGGGGGTGGGGGGGCTGGGTGGCTCAGTCGGTCCAACTCTTGATCTCAGCTCAAATCTTGATCTCAGGGTCTTGAGTTCAAGCCTCGTGTTGGGCTCTGTGCTAGGTGTGAAGCCTACTTAAAAAAAAAAGGTTTTTGGGCGCCTGGGTGGCTCAGTCGGTTAAGCGACTGCCTTCGGCTCAGGTCATGATCCTGGGGTCCCTGGATCGAGTCCCACATCTGGCACCTAGACAAGGAGTGAAGCAAAAAAAAAAAAAAAAAGGTTTTCTTGTCATTGGGATATATCCCTCTAGGGGCATATAATCACATTACTGTTTTGAAGTCACTTGGAATAGTTCCTCTCTGTGTAGTTATGCCACCAACTCAACATGCATAGGTTTGGGAAAAAAATCAGAGGTTTGTTTCATTTTTGCTTTTTTAAAGGTTAATTTTGTTCAATAATTATGTAAAATATTTATAGTTTCAAAGTCAATTTTCTGAAGGTTGTCACAGTCAGTTGTCATAGCCCAGCAGCTTCCCGCTGGTTCTTGCTCTCCTTCATTCATATCTAGCTTTTCTTCCCCTCTGATGACCCGACTGACTAACAGCAGCCCCAGGCTACCATAGATGTTCAGAGGCAGGCCCAGAGGCATCCTGTATATAGAGGAGACAGCTTCCTAGAGACCTCCCTGCAGCTTCCCCTGTGGTTCCATTTGGGCGGCTGGACATACTTGGTTTCTCAGATTGACTGGCTAGTGAATCCTCTGCTCCCACAACTCCTCTTGCAGTCACTGTCTTCACCAGCTCCTTCCACAATTGTGCAAAGCAAATTACTAAGATAAAGCCCCCATCTTGTAATCTCAGAGCGATTCTGCTCTCCAGCTGAATCCTGACTGACATAATACCTTTTCTGTTGTTGTTGCTTACCCTTATATTGTTTAATTCAATTATATATGTATATGTAACATGACATAGATATGTATTTTCCCTTTCCTATAATAGCATATTACATACAATTGCTCACCTTGCCTTTTTTTTTGTTATTAGATTTTTTTTTTTAAATTTATTTGACAGAGAGAGAGCACAAGTAGGCAGAGCAGCAGGCAGAGGGAGAGGGAGAAGCAGGCTCCCCGCCGAGCAGGGAGCCCGACACGGGGCTCGACCCCAGGACCCTGGGATCATGACCTGAGCCGAAGGCAGACGCTTAACGACTGAGCCACCCAGGCGCCCCTCACCTTGTCTTTTTTTGATAACAGTTTTGTTGAGATATAAGACACCATACAATTCACGCATGTAAGTGTACATACAATTCAATGGTTTTTGGTATTGTTCAGAGTTGTATTATCATCACCATTAAATTTTAGAACATCTTCATCACCCAAAAAAAGAAACTCCATACCTTTTTAGCTCTCACTACCCCAGCTCTGCCACCACAGCCCCAGTGGTTAGGCAACCGCTAATCTACCTTCTGTCTCTACAGATTTGCCTACTGTGGACACCCACATTGCTTTACTCACAGAAGAAGCCACCCGGGTGATCTCTCTGCGATGGTATGTTGTGATCTTGTTCCTTTGCGGCCTCAGGGTCCTCCATTGTGTGGCTTAGCCAACCAGTCCCTTCTGATGGACACGTGCCTATTTCCAATCTTTGGCTATTACAATAGAGTTACGATGAATAGCCTCGTGCATGTATCATTTGGCTTTTTTTTTTTTTTTTACCAGTGCATCCATGGGGTCTATTCTTAGAAGCGGGGTTGCTGTGTTAAAGGATAAATGCACATGTGATTTTGCTAGCGATTGCCAAATCCCCTCCACAGAATCTGTACTATTTTGCACTTCATCAGCAATGTATGAGAGTGCCTGTTTCCTCACAGCTTTCCCAATAGAACATGCTGTCAAACTCGGATTTTTGCCAATCTGATAGGTAAAAAATGGTAACTAAATGTGATTTTTAAAAAAGATTTTATTTATTTATGTGACACGGAGAGAGAGCATGAGCAGGGGGCGGGGCAGAGGGAGAGGAAGAAGCAGAGCAGAGAGCCCAATGTGGGGCTCCGTGTAATTTTAATTTGCATTTCTGTCATTAGGAGCAAAGTTGGTGATCTTGTCTATGTTTAAAAACCATTTTCATTGTTTTTCTGAGAACAATCTGTTCTTATTTCTAGCTCATTTTCTTTATGATTGTTGGCCTTCTTCTTAAAATAATTTTTTAAATAATTTTTATTGTTATGTTAATCACCATACATTACATCATTAGTTTTTGATGTGTTCCATGATTCATTGTTTGTGCATAACACCCAGTGCTCCAGGCAGAACGTGCCCTCTTTAATACCCATCACCAGGCTAACCCATCCCCCCACCCCCCTCCCCTCTAGAACCCTCAGTTTGTTTTTCAGAGTCCATCGTCTCTAATGGTTAAAATAATTTTTTTAAGATTTTATTTATTTATTTGACAGAGAGAGACACAGCAAGAGAGGGAACCCCGGCAGGGGGATGGGAGAGGGAGAAGCAGGCTTCCCGCTGAGCAGGGAGCCTGATGTGGGGCTCGATCCCAGGACCCTGGGATCATGACCTGAGCCGAAGGCAGACCCTTGACTGACTGAGCCACCCACGCGCCCCCTTAAAAGAATTTTGAAACAACTTTTATTTCTTGTCTTACTCATGAAGTAATGTTTGTTCATTACCAAAGAAAATTTAAAATACAGACAAGAAAAAACATACCCATGATTCATATACCCTAAGATGACACTGGGAATCACTTGCTATATATTATGTTAGCCCCTTTCTTTCTTTCTTCTTTCTTTCTTTCTTTCTTTCTTTCTTTCTTTCTTTCTTTCTTTCATATAGTTGAGTACAGCTGACACACAATGTTACATTAGTTTCAGATGAACAACATCACCATTGGACAAGTTTGGACAGCTTATAAAATTATGCTATGCTCACCACAAGTGTAGCTACCATAGCTAACCCCATTCCTTTTTTTTTTTTTAAGAAAGATTTTATTTATTTATTTATTTGAGAGAAAATGAGAGTGAGAGAGCACAAGCAGGGGGAACGGCAGAGGGAGAGGGAGAAGCAGGCTCCCTGCTGAGCAGGGAGCCTGGTGCGGGGTTTGATCCCAGGACCCCGGGATCATGACCTGAGCCCAAGGCAGTCCCTTAACCGCCTGAGCCACCCAGGCACCCCCCATTCTTTTTTTTTTTTTAAGATTTTATTTATTTATTTGAGAAAGAGAGAGAGAGAGAAAGCGCATGCACAAGCAGTGGGGAGAGGTAGAGGAAGAGGGAGAAGCAGCCTCCCTGCTCAGCGGGGATCATGACCTGAGCCCAAGGCAGATGCTTAATAGACTGATCCACCCAGGTGCCCCAGCTAGCCCCATTCTAAAAAAAGGAAAAAAGATACACACACACACACAATGGCAAAATATTTACTGGTCATGTGCCAGCACTTGGAAGCCAGAGGCTGCACAGGTCTCTCTGCTTAGAGCATCAGCTCTTTAGGGGAGAGAGGCCTGGAATGCCTGGTGAAGGGATGGAGGGGAATGGCAGAAGGTTCTGACCAAGTAGGGTCAGGGGAGGCCAGTGTGCAGCCCCTGGAGAGGTGCCAGTACCAAGTGGGTAGCTTGAGTGTTGCTTACCCAGAGGGGAAGGGTAGGGCAAACAGCCCTGTCCTGAGCTCCAGCCCTGTTCTGCAGTGCCCAGCCATGTGACCCTGGAGAAGTCTCTCCCCATCTCTGCACTTCATGGATGGTCTTTTAGTTCCCTGCCCACACAAGCATTATACTAAGACAGGATGAATAATTCATTAGAGAAAGAAAGCATTGATTGACGACCCAAAGGAAGGCAGGGCTGTTTTATTTTTCAGGCCTCTAGGCACCCCCCTAAACTTACAAACTTGGACCCCACCCACACTGCCCAACACTTGTGTACTCATGTCTTCCTGAGTCTAGTCCCAGTTCTGCCACTCTCTAGCTGTGTGACGCTGGGCAAATCACTAAATCTCAGTTTCTTCATCTATGGATGATACTTTGTTACAGGGTCATTTCAAAATGCCTAAAGCAGTCCCCCGACCCAGCGAGTGACTCATTATGGTGGTAATTATTACCTGCCACCTATCCCGGCTGAATCATCTTGACAACCCTGTGAGGCAAGAACTAGTAAATCTAAGCTCCACTTTACAGAGGAGGCAAGTGAAGTGCAGAAAGGTTAATGACTCGCCCAGGGACACACGGCAAATAGGAGAGTTGAGAGTGGAATCCGGGCATGCCTCTCTCAGAAGGCGAACTCGGTGGTCCACATGGCGCTGCAGTCTGAGTCCCCTGGGGTACCCCGACTCTAGGGTACGCTCGCTCGCCGAGAAGAAAAGCGTTTGGCGGGGAAACCTCAAAAAACAGCGCAAGCAGGCACGGGGGGGTGGGGTGGGGGGACGTAGGAGCCGGACCAGAGAGAGGCATGCAGCGGCCGCTCACGCCGCTTCTCCAGCTGCGCGGCGCAGCTTCTCCGTTCGGCCCAACTGCAGTTCCCGCGGTCGACACACGGGGGAGCCAGAGCCGGCTAAGAGCTGCCGGCGGGAAATACCGTAATTGCCTCAGGTGTGCGCACAGTCGTCCGCCGCCACGGAGCCGCGTGACGGAAGCCGGAGGAGCGTGAGGAGCGAGCCGCCGGGGATTACCGACCGTAGTCTGACCTGAGGTTGGCTGGGTCCGGCCGCCACGGAGGAGGCTCCGCGCGGAGAAGCGGGGTCCCACCCGCGGGCTCCGAGTCTCTCGGAGCTCTTCCTCCACGCCGACTTCCTGCTGCTCTGTTTTCTGGGGTTTTCCCCGGAAGCGCGGCGCAGGTCGTTGACCGCCAGGCAACGACTTGGCCCCTGGGGGGCGGGGTGAAAAGCGGCCGGAGTTGCAGGGATGGCAGGACCGGGGGGGGGGGGGGGGGGGTGAACTGCCGGTTTAATTCCCACTCCCCTGACTTCCCTCTTCACGAAGGACCTCCGGAAGAGCCTCAGGCCTTCGTCAACCTGAGCGCCCAAGAGACAGTAACGCTCTTCACACCGAAAGTGTGGCGACCGACGATGGGTTCCTGTCAGGGTAATGTGCATTTGCAACTCTGCAGCTCGGACGGAGCACATGCTTCACCCAGAAGAACTTCCAAAGGCCTGATTGCCCAGAGCAGTCTGCCGGCAGGAGGGCGGGGATGACCCGGAGCTGTGGGCCGGGAGGTGAGGCAGTGCGGTGTGGACTAGGCCGCAGAGCGGGTCCGGGTGCCCCCTAGACCCGTGGGGTCTGCGTCCCGGCCGCTGTAAGAAGCCACGGGCAGTATCCAGAAGCAGTGCCCCGGGCCCAGGGCTCTGCAGGGCTCTGCCCGCCCAGGCGGCGTGGCTCAGGGTCGGGGCAGGAGGGGCTGGGGGGAGGATAGGGGAAGCACAACGAAGAGAGAGGAAAAGGGAAGCGAAGAGCTCAGAGGTGGAGCTGGGCAAGACTTTCATTCTCCAGGCCTCAGTTTCCTCATCTGGAAAGTGGAGATAATAATACCACTTAATGCTAAGGGCTACCGTGAGCTTTCAATGAGCCAGTGTTCTAGAAACTGCTCTGGAACCAATGCAAAGGCTAGGCAGGAAACCTCCTCCACGGAGGCCTCCCTGATTGTCTCAGATCCCAATGCTGCTGTCTCCTGGGGGCTCCCAGAGCCCATGGTCCAGCCTTCTGTGCCAGCCCTATAGCCTTGATGGGGTGACTGTTTATTTTGCAGTTTATTTGGCAGCTACCCCCCCCACACACAGGATACCACTTTGCCCCCCCATCCCTACCAGACCGAATTTTTCAAGGCAGTCGTGGTGCTTGATTCATCGCTATATTCAAAAACAAGGCCAGATAATACTTTTGTTCATCTAAAGTTCATCTAAAGGTCATCTAAAAAAATAATAAGTACAAAGAGACAGAGTTGTGAAAACAAATGCAGTGGGGGTGGGGGATGGGACCAGATATTGAAACAATTTGACCAGAGCTATCAGAATTTTTTTAAGTGTATATATACTTTATCCTCAACTCCATTTTTAAGAATCTACACCACAGAAATAATAGCAGTGCTAGGGCAAAGATAAATGTGCAAGGACATTGGCTGCAGTGTTGTTTGCAACTGTAGGAAAGAACTGGAAACAACTCAGGAGTCCACCAGTAGGGGTTGGTGATCATTTTACAATATATGTAAATCAAAGTTTAAGGCCTTAAACTTTTTTTTTTTAAGATTTTATTTATGTGTCAGAGAGAGGGAGAGAGCTCAGGCAGGGGGAGCGGCAGGCAGAGGGAGAAGCAGGTTCCCTGCTGAGCAAGGAGCCCAACTCGGGACTCGATCCCAGGACCCCAGGATCATGACCCGAGCCAAAGGCAGACGCTCAACTGACTGAGCCACCCAGGCCTCCCTGTATGCCTTAAACGTATACAATGATGTATGTCAGTTATTTCTCAATAAATTTGGAAAAAATTAGAGGATGATGAAATAAATTGAAGTGCAGCCATACAAGGCAATACTGAGCAGTTGTTAAAAAAAATGAATGGGTCTGTAAGTGCTGAGGTAGGAAGAATGTCTAAGAGATAGCAAGAAACAGAACAGGAAGTATAGTGTGAGTCCATTTCTCTGAAAACATTCTCCCACAGCTGCCTTCCAGTCTTTGTCAAATCTCCCTTGTCTGTCTCAGTATGGCAATCTGGAAGATCCTTTGTTTTGCAGCCCCTTAAGGATATTAAAAGTCTGCTCCAACCCAATTTAAATTCAAATTCTTTGCATCTCCAAAGTACATATAGCACAGATCCATACCAGGCTTATCATTTTAACACATTTATTTCCCACTACGCCCCTCTGAAAGAGACACTATGATTATCATCCTCAATTTACAGTTAAGGAAATTATAGGACAGAGAGGTTAAACAGTTTTCCCAAAGTCACACAGATCACAGATGGCAGAACCAGTGTCAGAATCCATGCTTTTAACCACTCTGTGTGTCACTCTAGGCTCATAGGACTACAGATGGTACCTTTTGTTGGTTCAGGCTTTCACTAGGTACAGTATATATCATTAATTAGATATACTAGACTTTCCCCTGATGAGGGACAGATGGATTGTTTCCAGTGTTGTGCTATCTATCACAAACATTGCTGCAATGAACTTCTTTAGTCAGGTGTTTTTGTGCACTGTGCAAACATTTTGGTCGGTTAGATTCATAGAGGTCAAATTGCTGGGTCAAAGGATACATTTAAATTTGGATAGCTGTTCTAGATACCTATTGCTATATGGCAAACCACCCCCAAATGCAATGTTTAAAACCACCATTTTATCTTATTCACAATTTTACAGGTGAAGAATTCAGGAAGGGCTCAGCTGGATGGTTTATCTTTGCTTCTCTGCCAAGCCAACTTCATCACTCACATGACAAGGCCTTAGCACTTCTTGACCTCTCTGCAAATGATGTCATATCCTCCAGGGCTCCCCCACATGGTTTGGGCTTCTCACAACAGGTCATTGCAGTTCAGGTAAGAGGCAGAACGTTGAATCTGCTGGGCAAGTTAAGGGATATGCTTGGAACTAAAACAATATCACTTTTGCTAGATTTTATTGACCAGAGAACTTAAAGACCAGCCCAAATTCAAAGGAAGGGATCACCAACCTCCTCTCTCTAGGGGAGAAGTGTCAAAGAATTTGTGACCACCTTTACTCCACCACAGTAGCTGTTTCAAAATTGCCTTCCAAAATGCTGGTCAGTTTACATTCCCGCAGTGTTTGGGGCTGTCTCCCCACACCCTCACCAACACTATACATTGTAGAACATTTCATTGGTGCCAATCTAGCAGTTGAAAATGGCATTTCATTGTTATTTTGTTATATGTTTCTTTCATTATGAGTGAAGGTGAGCATCTTTTCATGTATTTACTGTTCAGCTGGAATTTTTCTTTCCTTGTGAATTGCCCATTGACTTCTAAAATGTGTATTTTAAGGAAATTAGCTCTTTGTCTGACATTCTGTTACAAATAGTTTTCCCAGGGGCGCCTGGGTGGCTCAGTCATTTCGCGTCTGCCTTGGGCTCAGGTCATGATCCCAGGGTCCTGGGATAGAGCCCCACATCGGGGTCCCTGCTCAGCGGGAAGCCTGCTTCTCCCTCTCCCACTCCCCCTGCTTGTGTTCCTCTCTCGCTGTCTCTCTCTGTCAAATAAATAAAATCTTTAAAAAAAAATAGTTTTCCCAGTATGTGGCCTTTTGACTTTGTTTTTTAATAATTTTCTCCATTCGGGTTTTAAAAATTTTTTTTTATGTGTTCAAATAATCAGTCTTTTACTTTAAGACTTCTAGGTTTTGTGTGGTGTGTTCCTTCCTTTTTTCAGAATTTTCCTGCTAGTTTCAAATGTTTATTTTTCCAGAGGAAGATTAATATCATTTTCTGAGGCTCCCTCCCCAATCTTGTTGGTATTTGGATTGAAATAGCTTTCACTTGATAAACCCCTTAGAGAAAATGCACAACTTTACAATTGGAGGGCAGGGGTGGTCATCACCTTGTTTTGAGTCTTCTCTTCTATAGGACATTGAGGCTTATTGAGGGGTGGCAGTTCCATCTCAGGGAAGCCCCAGTACCCCAGGCACCTACAAGGGAGGGAGCCCAAGAGCCCAGCAAGGGCCACCCTGAGGTCAGGTAGGCCCTGCATAGGCCTGTCCCTGGGAACCCAAGGCTTGGCCAAGGGAGGCCTAGAACATAACCCAAAGCTACAACTCTGGACCTACATGCAGGGTGAGTTCAGGCCTCCCTAAAGGAAACATTCCTTGGAGGCCCAGGAGAGGGGCCAGATGTTTCCTCAAAGAGCCGATTCATGAAGTAGGAGATTTCACAGGCAGCGCCTTGTTCAAGAAACCAAGTAGTAAGGCCTTTGCCAAGGACAGTCCTACTGGTCTCAACATCACAGCCTTGGGGAGAGGCAGGGATCTGCTCTGGGAACCACAGGTACGGGTGGTGGCTCTGAGCACAGGCCTTCAGGCTTGCCTTCCCAACCCTGCTGGTCTCCACTGGCTTCTCTCTAATCCTGTAGCCTCAGACAGCAGCATCCAGCCCCTCCTTACCCAGGCGGGGGCCCAGAGGCTTCCCCAGAGGCACCCAGGGAGACTGAGTGGGCACTCATGTATTACGGGATCATTTGTTGAGTGCCTGCTATGTGCAAGTCTGTGTCCTTGGGATGCATTAGACCAAAATTCCTGCCCTTCTGGAGCTGATAGACATAAAATAACTGGTGAAAATGTAAAATGTCAGGAGATAAGTGCCACGGAAGATAAGAGAACGAGGTAAAAGGACTTGGGGGCTGGGGGTGGGAGCAGCGGAGAAGGCAGTCAGTGTTTCTGGGGAACATCCATTTGCCCTCCAGGCTGGCTCAACAGTGGGGACCCTGTACAGGAAAGCTGGGAAGGAAAGCAAGGTGCTCATTCCCCTGGCTCCTTCTCTGAAGGGTCACAGCTCCTGTCTGGGGACCTTCTCCCACAATACTCTCTTTCCTGTTTTCAGCAGCCACTTCCTTCCCTCCCCCTCAAGCCTGGGAGTAGTAAAGGTGCCCCATGCCCCCACACCTGGGCATTGCACCCTCCCTTGGGGTGTCCTTACATCCCATTCACACCTTTGTGAATAGTCCTCGGATAATCCCAATTGGAGTGCTGCATGCTGCTGGAACACTGAGAAATACAGTGGCATTTGAGCAGGCTGGAAGACAGGAAGGCGGTTTGCCATGTAGATACCTAAGGGAAGAGTGTTCTGGGCAGAGGGGATTACCAGGGCAGAGGCCTGGAGAGGGGAAGGTATGTCTGAACTTTTTTTTTTTTTTTTTAAGATTTATTTATTTACTAGAGAGAGAATGAGCAGAGGGAGGGGCAGAGGGAAAATCTTCAAGCAGACTCCAGGGAGTCTGACATGGGTCTCGATCTCGTCACCCTGAGATCGTGACCTGAGCTGAAATCAAGAGTCGGATGCTCAGCCACCTGAGCCACCCAGGCGCCCTGGTATGTCTGAACATTTTGAAGAAAAGCAAGAAGCCAGAGTGGCTGGAGCAGAGGGAAGGGCAGTGGAGTAGCACATGGTATCAAAGAGGTGTGTATTGGGAGGCAGGGCCTCTGGAGGCCCCGACTGAGGAGAGACTGTTCTTAAACACTATTGTTCTGGCTGCTGTGTGGAGAACCAGCTATGGGGGGGGTCAGGGGTGGAAACAGGGAGGCCAGTGACAGGGCTACTGCAGTATCCCGGGTGGCTGAGATGGCACTAGGGAAGAAATGAGCCCATAGGATTTGCTAACGGGTTAGATGTGGGGTATGAGAACAAGGAGGCAAGGATGCTTCAAGGTTTCTGGCCTGTTGGATTTAGCAGGGCTGCTAGGTTTCTTGTGGCTTCCCTGCATCCATCCAGCCTAGCCTTCACATGCTATCCCTCTGGGGGCTGCAGACCCATCTCTTCTAGGGCACGCCTGCTGGTCTGCTAGCCACTTCCAGGAGGGGTCCTTTAGCAGGTCTCAGCCCCCTCTACTTGGGACCATCTCTCTGCTGGTCCTTGGTCCAAGGTTGGGAGTGGATTCTGCCCCTGGGGCACTGGGAACAGAGGCAAAACCAGATCCCAAGAGGCAGCCCCAGTGAGTTGACTGTTGCCCCTCTAGTGACATGCTTTCTGGGGTACTCCCAGATCCACTCTTCAGCCTGGGCCCTGTGGGTCAACCGGACCTGAGAATGTCCTCCTTCTTCTTCCATCACTCTCTCAGCTGGCTTCATCTCAAGCTCCGGGCCTCTGTGGGGCCATTTGAGTCCTCAAGTGAAGAGCCTGCCGAGGGGTAGCCCAACCCTTCCTCAGGGACTTTGTCAGCCTTGGCCCCTCCTGCTGGACATGGTCTTTCAAAATTCCGGTTTGGAGGGCCTCCTCCCACAGCATCCTGTGGGGTCACTTGGCGAAGCTCTCACTGCCCCAGCCACTGGATACCAGCTGAATGCCTTCTGGACCAGCCAGGCCTGGCCTCCATTGATAACAGCACCACCACATAGACTTCCCCTGAGCCGGCTCCATGCTGAGCTCTCCTCCAGCCTATCCACCCAAGTCAGCTGGGGTCCATCTAGCACAGACGGCTGGTTGTGAGAGTGGGTTCTGGGGTATACACTCTCCCACTCATCTACATTTGGACCTTGGGCAGTCACCTAACTCTCCAAGCCTCCATTCCCTCAGCTGACCTCCTGGTGTCCCTTCCACATTGGAGATCCTCATAAGTACTTTCTGAACAAGTTACTGAATGCAATGTGCTTAACACAGTGCATGACCCACAGTATGTACTCAGTAAAAGTCAGCTATTTAAATCATCCCCATCTCCAGATGAAGAAACTGAGGCTCGGAGAGGAATGGACCTTGTCCAGGGCCACAAGAGTGGGAAATGGTGGAGCCAGTTTCCCCTGTGTCCTGACCCATCCATCTACCCTCACCCCTGCACTTGTCCCCTTCTTCCCTGCTGCTGTGAGGCCAGCACAGGGTACGTGTCAGCCCACGAGGAAACAAATGGAGAAGCCAGGAGCTTATACTCTGAGAATCCCTAGAGGAGGGGAGGCACCTGTCTTCATGGGCGATACAAAGATGAATTAAACACAATCTCAGCTCACAAGGGGCTGCCCAGTCTGGAGCTGGGAGCCACAGTGCTCCAGAAGCAGCATCCTTCCCTACATAGAGGATCCAGGAAACCTCCATGGAGGGGTGATACCTGAGTTTCAGGGACACAACTGGCTCGTTGAATCATACATGTCACAAGAAATGGTGACCACACAATCTGAATCTTTAAAGACAGTCCACGTTTTAACCATTCTGTCCCATTTTTGGGTAAAGCATCAAACACCCCAAAGAATCCAATGTGGTAGCACCAAATTGACCTCTCACAACCAGGTAGGTCACAAAAATCCATATTACTTCACATGTACTAAGCTTAACTTGGGGAAATAGGGCCAGGTACACAGATGCCACCTTCCCCAGCTTCATGGGTGTGTGTATGTCCACAAAGACACTAACACCAGCCAAAGCTAAAGGCCACCCACTCTCGGGTCATCAAGTGACTCACTGGCTTGAGTAGGCACCCACTCCCTGCTCCAGCAATGACCCAAACCCCAGTGCTGGGCACTGTAATGTCTGGAGGGGCTGTGTGAATCCTCAGAGAAAACAGACTCTTGCCGTGTATACCTCTTGTCAGGATCAGGGGCAAGGCCTCGTAGAGGCAACACAAGATTTTGGCTCAAGTGTCTCTGACCAGGGCTGCTGCCCAGACACAGTGGCTTTGCTCCCTCAGCACAGTTTTGCAACCTTAGTGTTTTGCTTTTCAGGTTGACTCCTGCCAGGACTTTTGGTTTCAGTTTCTGAGACAGTTTCTGAGCAAGTCCTGCCCTTTTCCCTCTGCTGTTCTTCACACTCTCCCTCCTCCTCCTCCTCTGTCTCTGCCCTTCCTTCCCTTTCCCTCCCTGGTGAGAAATGGCCCCCTCGTCCCCAGCTCTGTGAGAAAGGATAAGGAAAAGAGGGGAGGGGAGGCGGATAGAGAAGTGAAGAGAATTACCAGAGAACCCGCTCCATTTTCAGGGCTGCTCACAGTTGTGCAAACTCTGCACTGTACAATTCTAGGGGACGCAGTCACCTTGATGCCACCAAAGTTTGCATAATTAGCGCACCTTTCAGGAAGATCACAGTAAAGTGTCCTGGGAAGAGGCATTTTTTCCCCTGAATTGTCAGAAATGCTTCAAGTGGAATTGAAAGGGCTGAATGCATTTTGACTCGGATTCCCCCAGAAGCCCCAAGCTATCGCCTGTCCCACAAGCCCCCCCCAAGTCCTTGCACTCTAACCCACTTGTCCCTCACTGCTCAGTTTCTCAGCTGGGCTAAGAGCTCTAGTGAGAGACTGGTTCAAAATAGGAGGCCAGTCACCTCTAGGGCAATTCGTGGGCCCCAAACAAAACTCTTCCTTTCTAGGCCTCAGTTTCCCCACCTGTAATATGTGTAGTGGACAAAATGATCACTAAGGGGTCCTCCAGATTTAACATCTTGAGTTTGTGCCTGGGAAGCAGATAAGTTACAGTTGAATTCAGCCTCAGGGTCCCCTTTACCCAGGGAGAAGGAGGTAATTGTTCCCCTGACTGCGAGCAGGGCGCTGGAGGATTCTTCCGTTGTGGAATGATGGTGGGAGCCCCATGATGTCACGCAGAGAGGCTGTGTCCCCGAACCTCTCTAAGCCTCAGTTTCCTCCCCCAGTGAAACGGGGGTGATAATACTCACCTTGCAAGTGGCTGTGAAGAATAAAGGGAACACTGTGTGCAGCGGTGCTGGCACAGAGAAGGTGCTCAGAGGGTAGACGGGAAGGCCCTGGAGCCCTGACTGAGGTTAGGCCTGCGGAGGACAGCAGGACCACCAGGCTCCGCCACTGCCTGAGCTCATGCTCCAGGGCAGGAAACCTACCTGGTTTCCTCTGGGCCCTATAGGCCACCCCTATCCTTCCTCTACTGTGGGCTACCCCACCCCGCCCCCTTGCATGACCCCACTTCCGGCTGTAAGCTTAGGGACGGCACAGCTCTGCAGGAACCCCAAAAAGCCCAAACCCCTTAGCCTGGCCTGCAGGCCCCACCCTCTGCCCTACCACTCCTGCTGCTCACCAGCAACCTTGAGTTACCTGACACCCCCAAACAAGCCATGCATTGTCACATCCCCAAGTCTTTCCCCATGCTCTGTCCCTTCCATGTCACATGTGTGCCTCCTCCCCTCTCCCTGCCTCACAAGAGAGCTAAATCCCACTCATTGTTTAGAGGCCTGCTCAAATGTCACCTTCTCTGGGAAGCCTTTCCCTGTCCTTCCAGTAAAGAAAATAATGACCCTTCCTGTCGGCTCCATCAGCTCAGGACTCCGTTAGGAGTGCTGTAGGGCTGAGTCAGTCGTGTCCCTACAGAGCCGCAGTGCCCTCATCTATGAAATGGAGGCAAATCACCTATTCCCAAGGGGGACGGTGTTGGAGGACTTCAATAAAAGGGGACACATGAAGCCCCTAAGCATAGTGTGGGCATGCAGTCCATGCCCAATAAACCCTAGCTGACCCTTCAATTCCAGCCCCCCAACCCTGCCAGAGAGCAGGAAGGGTGGGTCAGGCATTCTTTCCATCCATTTATTCCAGCTCTTTTCAATGGGTCCTCAGGTTCCCGCCCAGGGACGCTGCCAACCCGCCGCTCATTGGAGACCAACAATGATTGACAGGCTCCAAACCCGATGATTGACCTAGTCCTTCCTGGAGCAGGTGGCCCGCCCTACTGCCCTCTTTGGAGCCCCTGTCTAAGGAAGGCAGAGGCCAGGAGTAATGGGGGGGGGGGGAAGGCGCGCAGATAGGTCTGATTTCCATGGGTAGCCTTCAGTCGGCCTGTGCAGCCTGCCCACCCCACTGATGACTCAGGTCTACTCCCCACCCTTCCCCTTCAGGAAGAGGCCCTGTCATAATCGCAGTTGTGCTACCTAAAAATAGCTTCAGTTCGCAGATACTACATGAACACCAGGCCTTTCCAGTCAGGGAAGAGGAAGGCCAGTTCTCCAGTGCATTCTCCCCTCAGCCCCTCTTCGAAAACAGAACCTCTGGGGTGGAGTCCTAACACTTCATGGATGGCTTCAGCAGCTGCTTCCTCCCCCGCTTTGGTGCTGAAGGCTTTTTGCTGCTTTGCAATCAGCTTCTCACATGCTCTCATTGGTCCTTTACATCAGAGAGATGGGGCAGAGCAGCAGAGGTTATTGTACCCATTTTGCAGATGCAGAAAACCAGACCAAGGGAGGGGAGGTGACTTGCCCACGATCACACAGTGAGCTGGTTGTGGAGCTGAGGTATGGGCACCTGACTCCTCCTACAGTATTCTTTCTGCCCCAGCATATGTCTCCTCCTCGGAAAATGCTGTGGTCACAACCAAGGCAAAAAGAGAAAGGAGAGAAAGGTTGGACGGAGCAAGATTTGAGGAGCAAGACATTCTTGCGACAAACATTTGTCAAGCTCCTACTATGTGCCAGGCACCACACTGGGCACTAGTGATATAGCAGGGAGCAGAGAGTCTACTTCCTGCCCCCATGGAGCTCCACAGTTTGATGGAATGAGAGTTAACATTTACTGGGCATGTTCTTTGTACCAGATGCTTTACAAAGCACTTTTACATGGGATATATAATTTAATTCTCACTAGCATACCCATAAGGTAGCATATTGGACGTTTGTCATTTGTGTTGGCCACTCAGCATCTGCAATCCCTTCCTATATGTGTGGGGTATTCTTCACTCGTGAGGAAGAGCCCAGCTTCCACCACTGAGACTAAATATGCCAGATGCCCCCTTTCCCAGCCTCCCGTGCAGCTTGAGGCTGGGCGTGTGACCAACCTTGGCCAATTAGCACAACCACCCCAGACTCCGTGTTGAGGCAGTAACTGTACAGATCCATCCTGGCAGTCAGTTAAGGACAACAGGAGCCTCGTCTGGTTTCCGGAGGCACCAACAGCCATTCATGGGGGCAGAGTCCCCCATTCACTGCTGGTGGAGCCAGTGTCTATACCCAGTGGTAGCAGGTAGTGCTGTCCCTCCAGCTGTGCGGAGAGATTGAACATTGGAGCTAGTGGAAAAAGGAGAAAATCCTGCCCTGCCCGTAGTTGGGGATTACTGCTGCTTCCCCACAGAGCAAGTGGGTGGGGTAGAACCTAGAAATGGCAGGGAGTCTGGAGTGGGGATGAGACTTGCTCTGAGGCCTTCCAGCCTGAGTCCAGTGGGGTGGGCTGGGGTGGAAGGGGGCACTGGGTGGTCTCAGAAGCCTCCACCTTGTGGCTGCATAATCATCCCTGCCTGAGTCCCTGGAGAGCCCCTGTCTGTTCTCAGGCTGCTCTTTTCTCCCACTCACCCTCCTTACCATCCCACTGATCCAGGCCTGGTTCTAGACCTTTGACCTCTTCCTGGACACCTGTAACAGCTCCTCCTTGGTCCGCCTGCCTCAGCTTTGTGTCCTTGTGTCCACTCATACCATACCATCCTTCATCCTGGAGTCAGGGTGAGCCTCTGGGACACAGGACTCATGGAGTCACACCTTTCCTTCAGCGCCTGCCAGGATATTCTCACCCACAAATGCCATGCCTGGCACTCAAGGCCCTTAAGCCCCCTGACTATGCACATCAGTCCTCCGGCCACATCCCAGAGCTCTGGCCCCACACCTCTCTGTCCAGTCATCCCTACTCCATCGCCACTGTGCCCTGCCCTGCCCCTTGCACTGCTTTTGCTGGTGCTGTTCCTCCACTAGGAAGGCCCTTCCCCATCCCCTCTATTCTTCTAATAAAATCTCATTCATTCTTAAGGCAGCTTCAAATGCCAACTCATCCATGAAGCTTCCCTCAACCCAACCTTGACTCCTAGTACGAGTATTGATTCCTTTATTTTGTCGAGGAGAAGTTCTGTGGTATTTTAGAGGTACACAAATTGCTACTGCCTGGATCAGGTATTTTGATGTGAATGAAGAAAGCTGTGCCTGTGGGACCAAGAACCTGGGCTCTTGGTCAGACAGACCCAGGTTCAAATCTAGACTTTGCCATTTACATGCTGGGCCATTGTGGGCAAGTCAGTTCACCTCTCCAAGCCCCTTTTCTTCAGCTTCATTGGGCCCCCATGACAAATTAGTGGTTTCAGTGTCAGTCTGCCCTGTGAACCATGAGCAGCCCCTCCAGACCCAAGTTTGTCTGGGGCATGGGGGCCTTTGCTACCCAGTGAAGCCCTCTCTGGTCTCTATGTCTCAGCTCCCCCACTTTCAAATCCATTTTCCACTATGGAAGCATGAAACAGGTCAGAGGGGGACAAAGTGGGAGCCTCCAGTTGGGCATATCGTGGCACCCAGGGAGAAGTGCATAAGTGTGCCCCATCTGTGTGCCTAGATGCTGACAAGCACAGCTGTGTACAAATTTGGGGGTGTGTGTGTATGTGGGGACACATGTCCTTGTCTCTGTATGTGTATAGCTGCCGTGGTTGTCAATTCAGAGGAAAAAAGCCCACACTTCCTGTTAAGAATCGATTAGAGCATCTTTATAGAAGCCCCACGTCTCCCCAGAAGGGTCATCAGAGTTAGGGGAAGAGAGGCGGGAAGGCAGGGCAGGAGGTTGGGAGCAGAGGGCAGGACTCCTAGATTCTTGTCTCATTCTGCTGCCAAGTCATTGCATGACCCTAAACAAGTCACTGTACTTCTCTGGGCCTCAGTTTCCCTTTCTGTAAAAGGATGGGGGATTAAACTAGGTAATCTCTGAACCCTCCTACTCCCTCATTTTTGGGGACCCAGATTAGCATCCAGAGTACACTCTTCAGAGGGAGACACCACTCACAATCCAGATATCCCACCGAGCATCTCCCTCACGCTGTTGATCTAACCCTTCCCAGGCCAGCCTCGGAAACACCGAGACTCTTCCTTGTGGTTCTATCAGGGAGGGGACAGGAAGGAGGTTTCCAGTGGGAAGGGCTTAGTGGCAGCCAGTCGCCCACCCTCATCAGTAACTTCCTGTTGGCCCCCATCCCCACCCGACCCTACTCCCTCCCAGTTCCCACATCCTCAACCAGAAGAGAAACAAATTAGTTCCTCAATAGGAAAAGGCAGGAGTCCCTGCCCTTTCCACCCATCCCATCTACACTGGGTGAGAATACATGGGAAAGAATCTGGTTTCACAGTCAAAGCTGGCCCCCTCGTTTTACAGATAAGAAAACCCATAGACAGAGAGGGTCAGTGACTTGCTCAAGGCATACAAGTGAGATGGTGGCAGTGCCAGGATTGAACACAACTTCCCACAGGCCTTTCCATACCATCAGGGCGCCCCTCCATGAATGAGGCTCCCTAACTAGTTCTCACTTCCACTGAGGGTAGAGCGCAAGAACAGGAGCTTACGCGGCAGCATAGGTACTTGGAGTAGATGCCAGGAAGCACTTCTCTACCTAGAATTGGTAGACCTGGACAGGTGCCAAAGTAACACCTCCCAGACATGCCTTCAGAGAAGGCTACTCTGGAATGCAGTAGGTCCTTGTGGTTAGGGAGATGGCTCGAGAGACCAGGTTTCCTGCTTAAATTATCTTTGCAAGGAAGGGGGGCAAGATTGCAGAAGGAGGAAGAAAGTTACTTTGGCCAGGTCCCATGTTCAGTGCTCACACCTACGCCCATGACAGCTGTAGGAGAGAGGATCTTCACTTTATAGATCAGGAAACTGAAGCTCAGAGAAGTTAAGTGACTTTCCCAAAGTCATACAGTTAGAAAGTACAGTTGATCCTTGAACAACGCAGGGGTTAGGGGTGTGAACCACCCTGGCTCAGTTGAAAATCTTAAGTGTAACTTTCGATTCCCCTAAAATTTAACTACTGACAGTGTACTGTTGATCTGAATGAATCCTTACTGATACCATAAACAGTTGATTAACACGTATTTTGTACGTTATATGTAGTATACACTGTTTTCTTACAAT